TTTTAATAAATGCAGTGAATGTTTCACTTCATTGATTATGTTTTTCATTTATCTACAAATTACTTTTGAAATATGGGAGAGGTGGTAAACTATTACTTCAATTCGTTATACTTAACTTTTCTCCTCAACTAAACCGAAGTAAGAAATCATATTACTTTTTTCTTCATACTGTTAGACTATAAAAAATAATACTCATTATATTCAGTTTTCTATCTTATATACTAATACCATGTGTGTTATTACGCCATTTCAAAGCGTTAAGTTCTATTTTTGTTGTTGTTGTGGGGGGGGGGGGAGGGTTAATTTACTTGAAATAAAAACAATTAGAGACAAGTAATTCCTTGAGCAATACTGCATCGAATTTATTGTTCCTTTGGTTGTAAGAATAGAATGTTCAATAAATAACAATTTTGATTTTTAAAAGCACAATATAATAGTAGAATAGAAACTTCACAAAATTATTTGATAAACATTCATAGGACGGAGGTAACAACTTGCAAGTGATAAATTTCGTAAATTGCACAAACTTATATAACGCTTCTTTCTTTGACACGAAAACGAACATAACAGGCATTTAACATTTACACAATGAAAGTAACGAATAGTAAAAGGAGCATATCTTTGCATTAAAAATGAACAGTTATAAACGAACATGTGAATGTTTTTTATAAAAAAACATACATAAACTATGGTCCCTTCGATTAAAAGCGACTTGTATTTTTGTACATGTAACATGTTTTGTGTGTGTGACCATATTCCCGTATAGCTGTCGTCAAAACACAGGCCATTTCTGGGGTCGACCGAACATGCATAGTCAATGGCAACTATAGATTTATAGATAAGGACTCTTTTTGAGAGAAGAAGGAAAATATTAATGTCAGACCCTGTTTATTAAGGTATATTCTATTTTTTTGAGTAAACCTATATTCTATTTTTGAGTAAGCTTATATTAATTTAAATTGTTAAACCCCTATTTAAATTGTACCTTTAAACTATGTTTCTATTAAGACCACCTAGCTGGTATATGCCACTGGTTAAGGGAACAAAGAGACCCCTATTCTATAGGCCTTGTTTATGTTTTAAACCCAGACCACTTCCTTTATTCGTAGAGTACATAATTCATGAATGACCAGTGGATACATTTGCTGGTACCCCTTTGTCTTAGGGATAGGGAATAGTGGGGTTGTTTGCCTGGTTTGGGAGGAAGATTGGCTTTCTCGTTGAGAGCAAGTTTAGACTTCAAGGCAGATAGACGTGTGATGTAACTTCCCCCAGAAGTTACTATGTCGCAGTTTTTTAAGACCTGCCTTGATTTTGTTTCTTAACAGGTAAGCGAACACCCACCTTCCTAAAAGTATATTCATGTTCTATTCTAGTAAATTATAGAGATATCACAAGTTCCTAATGCAATTTGAATTAATTGTATGATATTGTTTAGTGTGATTCTCCTTACGTTGGAAAACCCATTGTTGTATTTTCATGTGTTTATCCTTAACTTTTGATACAAGATGGTTGTGACTGTGTATGAATTAAGATACCACTTTCCACAAGCCAGACCTATTTACAGATATTTCAGTCATTGTAAAATACTTTTGATTAGATAGTTTAGTGATAGCCCAATTACTACTTGTTAGACGATGAATACTCTTGTTGAATTACTGTGTTCCATATAAAGAAGAATTATTATTGATTAAGTAGGAGAGCAAGTTTAGACTTCAAGGCAGATAGACGTGTGATGTAACTTCCCCCAGAAGTTACTATGTCGCAGCTTTTTAAGACCTGCCTTGATTTTGTTTCTTAACAGAGTTCCACCATGGTTCCACCATGGTTCCACTTCCATTTCCCTCGGGACAAGAGTTGGGACTGCTGTCGTTGTTCAGGCAACGCTCTCCGCCTGATCGATGTATTTAGTGCGTACTGACGAACGACTTGTGTTTTATCATTTGTACTTCATATGAACATCTATTCTTTTCTTCTATTCCCTAATATGTTTCTACTGTACAGTGTAGTTTACTTTGCTCTTTTGCTATCATTCTTGTAATAAACATTGTAAAGCTTTGCATGTAGCTGTTTTTGTAAGAATTGTTTGTTTGAAATCGAAATGCCAGTTGTCACACTGGGAGTTTATTATCGGTGTACCTTCGACACTGAATATTAATAAATACCTCTTTGGAATTATCATTGGCACAAAATATATGTTTCAGACTTATGTATTTTAATGGATCTCCGTGTTTACTAATCTTAATTAATTGAACCGGCGCAGGCATAGGAAGCCTGTGTAACAAATGGAGGCACTGCCCGGATGTAAAATTTTCTTGGAAAATAATAGTTGTTTTTCCCAAAAGGAAAATCTTGTTTAGATTATTAATTTTTTATAATTGCTTTTAATTGAGAATTAGGTCCTTTTTACCTCTCTCTTGCTTTGAAGAGATTAACAATATTCTGTGTATAAGATTGTTATTGTTGTGATGATTGCCACGACTTGTAAAACACTAAGTTGGACATAGCGTATATTTGAAAGTGGTCTTAATAATTTGAAGTGTGACCTAATCAATTTTTGTTGCTGTTGTTCAGGTCAAATCAGTAGCAGCCCTACTACTGACAGGCGTAACAGTAAACAAGGGGTAGCTTGTCCAGCTTAGTTGTTACTGTGGTTTCTATTTTACTATATCAATATTCTCATCATATAATTATTTTGTTTTTATATAATAATTAGCACGTTCTTGAATCCTGATTGGTGTTATAAATAGTATATTTAGGCACCTTAATATCTTACACTATTTTGTTAACCCTGTTTTTGGATAGTTTAGCTTTATAATCTTTTTAAAAAATGTCTGACTCTAACCCTAAGTTTAAGGCAGAGCTAGTGAAGTTTCTGGCCGAACAGGTGGCCAAAGATAAACCTAAGAAGAGTTCCATAAGGCGATCTGCAATTATGAGTTTGCAGATGAAGCCATCTCATCGGGCCACATCTGATAAATCTCCAGCCGCACTAGTGGGTACCCAATTCACTGTCTGGGCTGAGGTTGACGGAGTGTGTGCCCTATGAGTGCCTTATGGACACTAGGTCGATCCCAAGTGACATGCATATCTGCTTATTGTTATCACGAAAAGTTAGCGCACCGTCACTTGGAATCCATGACGACCTGTTCGTGTTTGGTGCAGGTGGAATCAGAAGTTCCATACATTGGGTACATCGAGGCCCATCTGCATTTTTACACTGACAATTAGGTTTGCGTTCAGTCAGAGACGACAACGCTGGCACTGGTTATTTTTATTTTACAAGTTTTATTTTGACAAATGAGCACCAAACCAATGAAATCCTTAATTGCCACCACCTTTCGGGTGAAGCTCATTCTACCCAAGAATGAAGCATAGTGACAGGAGGAATCATTTGGCTGGATGCGGTGTTTGACTGAAGAGGTGCACCCAATGTTGAGGTCATCTACAGAGAATTACATCTTGCCATCTAGGTAGGAAAGTATGAGATTGGTTAATCTCTCTCTGTCCTCTGAAGTCTGCGGAAATTTATCATTGTATTGACTTGTAATTAAAGATGTCGGGACGCCATGATTCTAGGAGGGGAGAGTGTCAGACCCTGTTTATTAAGGTATATTCTATTTTTTTGAGTAAACCTATATTCTATTTTTGAGTAAGCTTATATTAATTTAAATTGTTAAACCCCTATTTAAATTGTACCTTTAAACTATGTTTCTATTAAGACCACCTAGCTGGTATATGCCACTGGTTAAGGGAACAAAGAGACCCCTATTCTATAGGCCTTGTTTATGTTTTAAACCCAGACCACTTCCTTTATTCGTAGAGTACATAATTCATGAATGACCAGTGGATACATTTGCTGGTACCCCTTTGTCTTAGGGATAGGGAATAGTGGGGTTGTTTGCCTGGTTTGGGAGGAAGATTGGCTTTCTCGTTGAGAGCAAGTTTAGACTTCAAGGCAGATAGACGTGTGATGTAACTTCCCCCAGAAGTTACTATGTCGCAGTTTTTTAAGACCTGCCTTGATTTTGTTTCTTAACAGGTAAGCGAACACCCACCTTCCTAAAAGTATATTCATGTTCTATTCTAGTAAATTATAGAGATATCACAAGTTCCTAATGCAATTTGAATTAATTGTATGATATTGTTTAGTGTGATTCTCCTTACGTTGGAAAACCCATTGTTGTATTTTCATGTGTTTATCCTTAACTTTTGATACAAGATGGTTGTGACTGTGTATGAATTAAGATACCACTTTCCACAAGCCAGACCTATTTACAGATATTTCAGTCATTGTAAAATACTTTTGATTAGATAGTTTAGTGATAGCCCAATTACTACTTGTTAGACGATGAATACTCTTGTTGAATTACTGTGTTCCATATAAAGAAGAATTATTATTGATTAAGTAGGAGAGCAAGTTTAGACTTCAAGGCAGATAGACGTGTGATGTAACTTCCCCCAGAAGTTACTATGTCGCAGCTTTTTAAGACCTGCCTTGATTTTGTTTCTTAACAGAGTTCCACCATGGTTCCACCATGGTTCCACTTCCATTTCCCTCGGGACAAGAGTTGGGACTGCTGTCGTTGTTCAGGCAACGCTCTCCGCCTGATCGATGTATTTAGTGCGTACTGACGAACGACTTGTGTTTTATCATTTGTACTTCATATGAACATCTATTCTTTTCTTCTATTCCCTAATATGTTTCTACTGTACAGTGTAGTTTACTTTGCTCTTTTGCTATCATTCTTGTAATAAACATTGTAAAGCTTTGCATGTAGCTGTTTTTGTAAGAATTGTTTGTTTGAAATCGAAATGCCAGTTGTCACACTGGGAGTTTATTATCGGTGTACCTTCGACACTGAATATTAATAAATACCTCTTTGGAATTATCATTGGCACAAAATATATGTTTCAGACTTATGTATTTTAATGGATCTCCGTGTTTACTAATCTTAATTAATTGAACCGGCGCAGGCATAGGAAGCCTGTGTAACATTAAATTGGAAGTACAGGAAAGTTACAAAAAAGAGAAAGCAAGGGCGAGAAGACGGAAGGACAGAAAATTAAATAAAAAAGAAAGGTTTTTGAGTAGTCAAGGAATCAAAGCTCCACTCTTGTCCATTTAGCGAAATACAGAGATTTTTGGTTTTTCATTCCAAATATGAAAATTCAATATAAATGATACCTCGATATTCAACCATCCAATTTCAATTTGTTTAAATGCATTAATATCTAATTGATTATTATCCGAAATGAGACCCTAATGTGTATACGCTAACGCGATCAATTATGATACTTGATTAACATTTTTATGAATTTTAACTTTTGATGCTCGATGTATATGACACTCTTTTATATTTCATAAAGGATACAAGTCCAGTAGACACTGTTAGATACATGAATATTCAAATAACTCTTTGGTTCATTGACTATTTGACAAATTCAACAAATTCAACAAATTCATGAAATGAATGTTTTAATAGAGGATACAAAATTGGTACAAAAAAATCGATATGCTGAATGTATATGCAATTAAAAAATTACTAAGAATTCTCTCTCTTTCTCTCTCTAATATGTTCATATGGTGAGCGGTGAAAACGGTGGTTTAAAATTTAAACCATGAAATGATGAAATGTAATAAAATAACCCCATATAAGTGGTATATTAATCAATTTGCAACAAATTGACAACATGTGGTAAAATTAAGCTGAATCCGTTATTTCAAATACTCTATGATGTCATAAAAGGCAGACGGAAGAATGTACAAATCAAAGCTATTCCATTTGAAACGAAAAAGGATTATTTGTTATAGATATTTTGTTATATAAATTTAAGTTTTCACTTTTCTTATTTCGAACAAATAAGTATATCTTGATCATTATGTTGATACTATATCATAATTAATGCTGGAATTGACAAGTTAGATAAATATATCACATTTGTAACCATTGCACATCAGCTCGGAGACGATTACTGTTCGAAGATTAAAACTGGTCACATTGTTGTTCATGTTGTCCGGCATATTTATTGCATGTAATCCGACATGCAACACTTTATAAAGCTCGGTGTTATTTTCTCTAAAATTGCTGGAATTAACAAATACCATGAATATGTCAACTTCATATCCAATGAATCGTTATTTGTTTTACTTGCATGATCCGTCACATACAAGATCACATACATTGTAGATTTTTCCTTTTTGTGTTATGATATCTATACTTATTTAATTTATGTTTGCATCTTTGAGTAGTGCAAATGAATCACTATTTAAAGTAATTGTTATAGAATACAAAATAAAAGCTTCTGTACTGAGACATCTCTGGGAAATGTACATTTGAGAAAACTGAAACAAAAGCCGTATTTACAAATTGTGGTCCAAATGCTGTGACATCTCAATAAATGAAATATTCAATTATGTGCAATTTTTGGTAATAAGGGAAGCGTTGGAAATATTCAGTAGTCACTGTCAATAGAGTTATCACTGTAACACGATGCATCAGTGAGATCAGCTGACATCCTGCTTGAATCGAGATAACTTCGAGATGACAAAGAGAAATCACTTTTCTCCGATAGTAACTCTCTTCCAATTCTTGCTTCTTCTTCTTCCAGTCCATCATCACCATAGAAACCATTGCCGTTACCAACGAAACCGATGAGTTGATATTCGGAGGGTTCTTGTTGCATGACCCCGTTCAGACAAATACCGGGAACGGTTATAGTCCTCGTTCTCCCGTTCATTGTTCTCCCGTTCCCGCTATTTAACGATCCCGACTTTTCTTCCGATGATACAGTGATAAGGATTCTCGGCCCACTGTCCTCGGCATCAAAACTTGCCCAAACGCTGGAAGAATCATTGTCACTGCTTTCAACACTGCCACGATGTCTTAAGTTTCTAAGCGCCAAACGACCCAAGTTCATTCTCTTTTGATGGTTGCCATTTACAAGCCCGAAATGCCCGTGGTGTAATTTTCCCGCCACCCTACTTTCCAGTTCGCTGATTCGTCGAAGAGCGCGCTTCAGTTCTCCATCACGTTCCTCCAGCTGCGTCTTTAAATCATCACACTGTTTGGAAAGAAGCGAAGACAACGAGACAGTAAAACAAGTGAAACCAATAGCAGGGTAAAGTGGAAATTGAAAGAAAATTGGCCTGATTGCAGACAGGGGCTGTTATGAGAAGATTTTAAAATGAGCTCCTCCAAAATCTCCTTCGACTTTCATCAAGTTGATTGGTTTGGAATCGTAGTCGTTTTTGTATTCAACGCTGTACGAGGAGATCGTCTGCGTGTGAAACTTGAGAAGTCTGGCACGAGCGCTCGTTCCAAGTGCAATTAAAATAGAACGCCGGGAAATACGTTTAATACAGAACGGCAATCACTCGCTAGGGGTTAGGGGGATACTTTACGTGCGCTCCGAGATCGCTTTTCTATTAGGAAAATGGAACATCGACGAGGTGCTATGGCACTTTCTATCCGCTGATAGCGACTATGATGAATGAAAACCAAGACGTTTTATCCATTGCGATGCTTCGTCTAAACAGGCAGGGAATTAATCAAGACAGCAGAAAGGCTCTACACCTACACACATCCTTCACACAGCGATTTAAGCGCCAAGTGAGAGCAGGAGAATATGTTTCAAATGGAAGGGGATGTACGTGTATTTATTTGAAGACAAAACAGTTTCCAAGAGTGCTGTTTTAATTGCACTTGACACAAAATAGAAAACAAAATAAGAGAAGAGCAGAAATTCTTACCCGTTTGGAAAGCTCTGTGACCTTTTGCTTCGTCGCCTAGAATGAAAATGAAAGGAAATGGACCCAGTCTGAATTCTTATCAACATATAATTGTTGTAAAATAAACGGTTTATAAGGGAACTTAGATGGATGATTCTTTACTTATTAGTGTAATCCAATTACCGGGGTAAAAATACTATTAGCACTTTGATTGGTTACGTTGGAACTGGATGGGGCAAAGTATTTAAACAAACAAAAAAAGTAATCTCCCTTTGTATCTAAAGAAAATGCATATAAATGCCATCTATCATATTGTATATACTTACGAGACTATCAAATTTGCGAAGCTCGTTGATGATATGTCTCAGCTCACTTGTCTCTTTGGCTTGAAAGAAATAACGAAACAAAACAAAAAGGAAAAACAAATAGTCGTTATTAATTTTGTTGGATGATAGTGAATTCAGAATTCGATAACCTCATGTCCGGAGAATGAACCATGCAACCACATCATGCATATTCAATAAAAATCATCATCTATGAATCAATAATATCATTCCCCAACTGTAAACAACTCCATTGTTTATAACCCTAATTAATGATTATAACCTTCAACACAATGTGGCCTGACAAATCGCCTCATGCTAATGTTCGGTCTGTATCGACCGTGTACCCACCTACAAAATGTAACACCCAGAAAACACGAACATGTGTAGCACGGTCGATGACTCATTTTGGATTTGATCTTTTACGGCTACCGTAGATGATTCAGACTAGCGGATTTATCGAAAAACAATTAGAATAATGATGAGGGATTGATTGACATGGTGTTGCCTCACCTGATTAATGTCATATAATAACATGAAAAGTATAGGTGCCTCAAGGACAAAAGTATTTAAACATTATTTTGATAAAAGTTTCATGCCAGAGGCACTCATGTTATTGTTACAGTACTTTTGAGACTAATCATTTGAACAGAACAGGCCATGGTGGATGATAGAAATTAATGCGCAATAAATTAAATTTTAGCTGAGGCTATGTGTGAAATTGACAACAAAGGTTTGTACTCCTCATTGAATTTATCGATAACATCGGGTTTTTGTCAAATTGTGAGGGGTTATATAGACAAAACGATAACATTGAGAAAATAAAACCGCACAACTTTACCGAGCTTATTTTTTTTTCTTTTGATTCTGTTGTAATTGTTTTTTTGTATGCGTTTTTTTTGTTTTTTTTGTTAAAGTTATTGTAAGCTTGATGGGGCAGAGAACTGAAAATGGCTATAGAGACAGAAATCTGGTGGGATGGAGCTAAGGGAGATGAAATATAGAGCAGGTGAGAGGGAGAGAAGTCATTGTAGAACTAATTACAATATGTATCACTTGGAACTCGTAAGGTAAAAACCAAGAGAAAGGGAGAGGGAGGGGGAGAGATAGAGGGGAAAGAAAGACAGGGGCTGAGAGAAAAGTGGGAGAAGAATGAGAGCGAGAGAGAGAGAGAGAGAGAAAGAGAGAGAGAGAGAGAGAGAGAGAGAGAGAGCAAGTAAGAGGAAGAGAACGAAAGAGGGGAGGGAAAGTGTGAAGATAGTGAATTTCCAAAGGATGATTATCTTTTTAATGTAAAGTAACTCTAAGAAGGTAGACAATCAAGCTACGAGCAATTTAGCCTTTTCTATCTTTTTGTTAAACATGGCTAATTTCCTACCCATCCGGAAACAACAGACAAAATTTGTTAAAGAAAGCTCAAAATTAAAGGATTGTTCAACCAAAAGGATTAAAGCAATGCACAATACTGGCAATCAGCTTCCATTAATTGATTGTTTGTGAACGTTAGTGAGAATTTAATGGAGAAGAATATTGCTAGTTCTCTGAAGCAAAAAAGTCAAAATTGTAATTGAATTGCCCACAATTATCAGATTTAAAAACTTCAGTTCCAGTGGCCAGCTCTTTATTGATTGTTAAACGTTGGTCCGGGAAATGAGGATTTTGGACTCAAAAGACGTACCAATCTGCGAATGTGTGTGAGTAATCAGCCAGAACTAAGCGCCGAGTTGAGAAAAGCAAAGGGAATGAATTCCAACTGATCATAAAATGTCAATCAGAAACATTCGATGTAGTTTCATGCAAGAGTTAATTTGTAACAATTCGGAAGTGTGAAATCTCATTTTGTTGGGGGATTATAATTTAAAAGAACCTCATGAACTTAAAAGCTCATCAGTTGGAGATCGGATTAGTTAGATTAACCCAATAGACGTGAGACAGGGCCTATGCAGTATTAGATTATAATGACACACGGGTCATCTTCTGCTAAATTTACTTTCACACCTTCGTGCCTTATGTAAAGCAGCTGATTACAATTGCAAATGCTCTTTTGTATCCGACTTAGGCATTAGGCATCTTAGTATACATCTACATTTTCCAATAGTCTTACAGTTTGTTTGGACAGTAATACAAATAGTTAATAAAAAGAAAAAAATAGCATGGCCTGAATTGAGAAAGTTTGAACATTTGTTTCTTTGGTAGCTTCTGGTATTGATACAATTTATAAAAATATACATATTTAAAACAAAGATTAAACAAATATATAAACAAATCGAAAGAAGGGTACTCTAACAGTCTAATGCGTTCATCTACTTGTACTAGAATGTTCCAGAAAAGTATTAATTTTCTTGTCAAAAACACTATTAACACAATGAAGTTGTTATCTCAAGCTACGATTGCGTTTTCGTTTTTTTTGAATTTTTTTGAATTTTTTTCCCTTCCACAGGGTTCTTTATTTTCAAAACAAGTTTTATCATATACAGTATATCCATATATCATATACAAATAATTAAAGAAATAATTTCCAATCATAATGGCTTAACACAGATAATAATCATCACGGCCGAAAACTTGTGTGGCAGATAAAAACAAACATTTATGACAAAATTAGTACTTAAATATATAATTTAAAAAAACAAAAACATAAAATACATGATCATGTTTATGTAGGCACATTTCCAACACTCTCAAAACATTTTCTAAAGTGAAACCATTTCTTTTTCAATTTATTTTCTCTGAGATTTGTTTGGTGTATATATTTTTCCATTTCATAATAACGTTTTACAGCTGATAAAATTATATCAAATGATGGGAGCTGATTTCGTAATTTAGCTGAAAATATTTCTTATCTTACAACCATCAGAACACAGTTGAGTGCATTATTATTGCTACCGCAAAATCCAAACAATTTATTTTGATTTGTAAGTTTGATCCTTTCCCCCGATTGCGTTTTAACTGATTTTTGCACTTGCATCACGGACTTTTACTTTTTTTTTCATATGTACTTTAGGTAATAATATTGCCTTACTTTTATCAATCATTCTAGTAAGGAGACCAGTGACTGCAGTCGTCTGTTTAATGGCATGGTTGGACATGGAACCACCACCTGTTCCATCACTGGTCCCATCACCCTCCTTATTACCGTCTTCAAGGAGTCTTGCCGAGTCGGGAACCTGAAGGGTAGCCTCAGACTTCCTTCGTTGCATCCTAAAGGGGAAGAATGATGAGGGGCGACGAAGTGAATGACATGGTATATAATTTCTATAGGTATATACATATAGGAGGATATTAAGGTATACTTGCCTTTGAATTCGTTATCAAGTTTAGATTGACAAGGCAAATGCCTGTCTTGACAACCTTGATGGTTGTGTAGTCCCATATACAGTACAGTGCTTGTTACTTTACCAAGACTGGGCCACATTTCTTATAATTTTGATGACTCCAAAACATTGCAGTACACACCAATACTTATATGCTACATGATCAATTTTTTCTTATCGATTCCACACCGTTTCTTTCACAATGCAATCGCATGACCAGAACTTTAAGGATTTAAGGACTAGGAGGAGGAACAGGTATCAAATCCTGTATGAGGAGGTATGTCAGATTATATCTAACTCGTTAGAATTCAAAGAGAAAGGTGGAAAGATCAACCACATGACAGAACAATTCTTTAAACTGATGAATACAAAATCGTCACCCTTATTTTTGGCCGAGTTATCTGGAGCTATCGTATTTCTGCATTTTCAATTTCGTAGACACCCGAATCTCTATTTTCATCCCATGTATATACAAGTAATATGAAGCCACACCACTATCATTCATGTTATCATCACAATCCTCGTACTTTCGTACACATCATTTGAATTAAATCACCAGTTCCTGATACACGTTTGTCAAACAGGACACATATAAGAGCACCCGATATCAATGTTTTCTCGACAGAATAAAAACAACGTGATTGGTTTGTGTTGAACGTGACGTTTGCCTAATTGAATCTCTGCGATGCCTGCTTATGATCAATGTTTGCATGACATTTCAACCTTAATCTGAACGCTTTGCGTGGGATATCATACTTTATCAAGCAGTCAAAATAATGACGAACGAGCTAGTATTCCTTTCTATCTGTCTGAACGTGCTGTGAATTTGATTTTGGGAGATCTACTTCTCTTCAACCTCAAATCGAAATGAACACAAAAGGTGCTGATATCATTTGTCGAAAGAAGTTTCCTTTTCGTTAAACTTATTGCATTACGTTTTTGATTTCTCTTATCGACTTGTTTGAAAAATGAGATATATACATGTGTATGTATAATGTACGTTCATACCTTATCTTGAATAATACTATTGCAATACTATAACTGTAAGTATCAAATTGCAAAAATAAAAATGGCTGTGACGAATTTATAGAGAGAAATGAACAAATCATTAAAATGTACTTAGAACAATACAAAATTAATAGCGTATTCACTTAGCATGAATTTATTCAGGCCCTGAGACTTTTCATGTGTTTGCAGAATCATTTTTCGCTTTGTAATTACCAGGAAGAAAAACGTAGTTTTTCCTTACATGTTTTCCTTCTTAATCAAGGAAAAGAAAGAAAGAGAAACAAGGGAAATGGAGCACACTTCGATATCTGAAATATAATTCCGTCCTACTAAGTGTGGCATTAAGGCTATATTGCTTTTTTTTTAAATTTAAAAAAAGAAAATCTGCTCTCTCTTTAAAATGGACTATTCTGACGTTTCATAATCATGGATTCGTGATGAGTAAGACAAACAACAAATAAAGGATGAAGTCCTCAATCTAAAGACTGACATCCAACTTTTCAATACTCCACATCATGATGAGGTGTAGTCCTGTTTTTACGTTTACCGATGCACCCTTATCCCCTTTGTCATCTACGGGCTCGTTAGTTTACAACACGATGTCCTGATTCGTGATCGAGAAAACTGACGGTAGGAAGATCATAGTAGCGATGAATTACAGAGCAATAGCAATTAGAGATTTGGATTGAGACAAGATGCAGTGGGTTTGTTTATTCCATAATAAACATCACGATTGCTTGCCAGGTCGGGATGAGACATAGCGAGAGGCAACGTCCCAATGTAAACTCGCTCTTCAATTTGCGAAAAAGCGCAAGTAGATTGTGTCCCGTTTTAGCGACCTGATGCGATGATATATATCGTGCCTGGCTTTTGTACCTGGTATATCAATGTGTGTTCTTTTATTTTAATATCTGAGGATTGATTATACAGGCAGGGCAGGTGAAGTGAGCTTACGTGGCCAATGCCCGCTGCGCTAAGAAATTGACACCACTTGTAACAATGCGGATTTGTATTTAAAAAGGTGGTTCACAGTCAATAAGTCAAGGGCATTATTTTCAAGAATATTAGAGGCATCGTTTTTCTAAACATATTAAATCAAATAAAACTTATTGAAGAGAAATTGCCGAATTCCCCGTAAACAAGGATGAAAGTTAATTCAACGCTTTCTCTACATCTGTTCCGTGTGTGTCTAAACTGGCGTAACATTTAAACAAGGGAGTACCTTGCATCGAATAATCGAAAGGACATGGCGTCCCAGTTGTTGTTGTTGTTGTTGTTGTTGTTTTTGTTGTTGGTAATAGTTTAATGGCGTTCATTCAGTATTGAATATATCAGTTATACATAAGAAAACTGAGAATAAAGATTGTTAATGATATAATTAATTAGTCAGTAACGCAATTTATTAGGAGTCTCTGGATGGTTTGCAACTTCGTGTTTCTGCTTTTTTAGTTTAATCTGGTCAGCCCGGTTTCGATTGCATGGAAAACTTAGCTTTGCCCGATTTGAAACAGGCTTCTCGGCTACTCGGCGTGCATGCGCAGTGATCCCAGTCTACTGGTAATAGGCACATGCCTAGTTAACTTTCACCTCTCTATAGATATGGGATGAATTCCGCTCACTTGAAATCGATTTCTGGAAAGTCACTGCCAAGTGCTTACATTGACCTCACCAGATTCCATTGTTTATTTCTATCGTTTATCTTTTGCCTAAACAAAACTATGAAATGAAAAAAGGGCTCACATTGTTGTTGTTTGAAAAAAAATTATTAGATGATCATTACGACATGATATAATGTTAAATCACATTCTCAATTTTGCGAGATATTTAATGTTTCGTTTCTATAACAATTCTATTCAATTTAGTCCTCCTCTGGCAAAAAGAACAGATGAAATATCTTACTTTCATTCCTATCGCCACAATTATTGTGCCTTTTCATAATAGTAGAATACGTTGATGTCAAATCAGTTAAATACGACATGATCTACATCTTTCCGATTCGCATCTGGTAGCAGAGAATAATTTCATATAATACCAGTAAATTTGATTGGGAACTGAACTAATTGGAATATGTGCAAGGACATACAGAAAATTGACTGATTAATAATTTACCTTGCCGCCTCTTTGTTTTTCTCCATCCGATCTCTGCCGTGTTTTTCTAATACCTTCTTTGCGTCAGGATATTCCACCAGAGCCTGCAGCAAAACGAAAAACATCATGACATACTATCCATGGGAACAAGAGTAAAGCCGTATTAGAACATGACCTTTATATGTCATGTTTGTTTTAATATACAGAAACACAGAAATCCATGAAGTATATGTTTTCCCGCTCGCTTTGTTTGCTCTCCAATTTTTATGAGCAAAAGCGCCGTTATCCTGACAAAGCCCCCCCTTGCCTCCTTTTATAGAAGCACATATCAGATATTAGGGAGAACAAGATAGGCCTATGGTAAGTTTGTTGACTTTTCCGCATAGGCTGATGGATATAATCACTCCTCTCCCTAATTATGAAATAAATAAATTAAGAGTCTATCCAGGCTCAGCATAATATACGTATAATTATGATTAAAACAATGTTAAGTGGACCAGTCGCTCCGACATTCTGCTCTTGACATGTAATCCTAACCTGCCCTGTAGGTAAAGTCAAGGTGTAGACACTATATCAAATTAACTCTAATTTGCTATGGATATCCATCCTTAAAAAATAATTCTCTGGCATGCTTCTCATGAGGTTCGAACCACCAACCTGCATGAGGTCTTTCTTGGACAGACAGAGTAGCTCTGAATAGCCGAGTGAAACCACATCAGCCGTCCGTCTGTTCTGCCCCTCATCGAGTTTTAGCAGACTGATCTCCCCGAAGTAGTTTCCCTCCGACAAGGTAGCTACCACCATGCACTCTTGAGTTTCTTGGTCCTGCACCACCACCTGTATGTGACGATGAGAGATGAGAGATTGTGATAAAGCTCAATGAAGATGATGACTTATTTGCAGAGACTGAATCGCATAACCATTTTGAATGGATGGAGGTGGAAAGCCACATTACGCTGAAAATATTCCGAAAAATTTCAATAAAAAAAATAACAAACAAAGAAGCGGGAGAAGAAAAAAAAAAGATTTATTAGAATGTCTTTCTACAGGAAGAGAAGTAATTAAATTCATATTTTCAAATTTTCCCACATGATTTGTGTAAGCAACAGCAAAAAAGATAACAAAAATATTTATTAAAAAAAGGGGGCATTGGTTATAATCATTGAGAGTAAATAGCGAATGATTTTTGTATTCATACCGATTAAATATATAAATGTTATCATTCATCATTACATGTTATGTGTATATAAGACATTTGCTCTGCTTTATTTAGATTTGAGAATATCGGTTAATTTTCATGATTGTGAATTGTTAAATAAAACAAAATTGTGTTCCATTGTCTTGATTTCATTTAACCCCTGTTCTTTATAGATTAGTAAGAGAGAGAGAGAGAGAGAGAGCGAAAGAGAGAGAGAGAGAGAGAGAGAGAGAGAGAGAGAGAGAGAGAGAGAGAGTGAGAGAGAGAGAGAGAGAGAGAGAGAGAGAAAGTCCTGCTGGGCATAGAAATATGAAAAAAGGAATACAATATGAATATTGTAGCGTTGGTATTATCAGGGACTTGTTAGTTGACAAGTCCCTGGTATTATATAGCTATAAGCGATAATTGCACACTCGTACCAGAAACAATTCGCACATTCCAGAATGAGTCATCTGTTTACTCCATCGCCAGAGTCTTTTTTGACATACGTGATAACCAAGGTCTGATATTCTGGTCACATCAATTATAAAGCTATGAAACAGGTCCCCTTGAAAGGAGGGGGAGGGGTGTCTATTTTTGGCACCAGTTAGTGTCGATCATGTTTTCGTCGTAGCGGAACAAATCGGTCGACATCGAGAACAAACACTGGGTTATTTTGAGGGCCAGGGGTCATTATTTTTGAGGGTGCTATCACAGCGCTTTGTTTTATTCCTAGTAAAACAGGCGCGCGTGTTATTGAGAGATTGAAATGGGATTGAATGGAAGGGGGTAATGCGGAGACACCATTCTGGATTGGTAGGAGGGGATCTTCCGAGTGATTAGACACGCCCTAAACAGCGGCGTGTAGAAGTAAACTGATCCCCGATAGGTCAATGCGGGTGACGACGGAGGGCTCTATCGGGTATGACGCCCGACAAATCAAGGATAAGTAGTTGATTGGTTCCGCAGCTCCGTCGAAAATAGAATCCAATGCTTGAGTTTGGCCTTGTTTGTCTTGTTTGTACCAAACTCCTTGTTTCTAGTTAGTTAAGATATTTATACTTGTCCAATCTAATTAAGAGCAAAAATGTGGAACGAAAAACAAAAATAATTCCACGTCAATTATTATTATCTTGTTCAACATCGCTCATGCAATCAATGCAACTACCACAGGTGTTCTTCCCTAATCGTCATCAGATATCAGCATGAAAGTTATTAAGTTTTTGTCATAATTATCTTCATCAATGCCTAAATAAAAGTATTTTACATCTTCTTTCATCAAATTCAGGTTAGATGCTGTGAATGCCGCAGGTAAAACATGTATTACTGTAACCCTTCTTTGCAAATAAATCAAAATATCGTTCCGGCATGTGAAAGTTTACAGAAAAGGGGTGGTTTACGACTCTGTAGTGGAGAGCTAAGCAAAACTGTAAAAGGTTGTAGTACTGAAATAATCTTAAAGAACCAAATATAAAAACCCTCTTAGCCTCGGCATTTTTCGCCAAATTTGCATCGTGTTTTATTCAGATATAGCAAAAGAGGAAAGAACAAAAGAACAAAATGAGAAAACAAAATTACATTTCGTCGTTTTGGAATCGAATTCTTTAAATTTAGCGATGATACCACCGGTATCAATATCCACATTATCAAGGGAAGTTCGTGTTTCACAAATGAACTGCACGCGACATGTAAAGTACATTAATTCATCGAAACATGTGTTTTATGTCTCAAAGAGGCGGCGGCAGTGGCTGCAGTCACCGAGCGACGACGGAGAGTCGCCGCCGACAATCCAGGGGATGTCTCAGACGATCTCTCCGTGTTTGTTCCACTGAATAGGTCCAAGATTAGGTATCAGCTGAGTACAACCGCCGTAACCACCAAATGCCAATCGTCGATATGTTGAGTGTATAATTGAAAAAGTGCAAGTTTCATCGGAGAACCCTAACCCTTTCATAGCCGAGGATACCTGATGAGGCTATGTAGAAGAAGCCGATTATGTTGGTTCCAGCACAGACTACAGCTATATATTGTTTCCTTATTAAATGTTTGATTGTTTGGTTGATTAGCTCCTTGATAATTAAGACCCAGTGGTTAATAGCGAATAAAGAAATGGACGGTGTTTGTTTACAACTCTTGTAAACACGGTAAGAGATACACGGTGGTTTATCGTCAGCCCTACAAACGAATATCTGTTTCCGTTTTCGTTATTAAAAGTACAATGTACTTGTCCTCTGAGCAAAGAAATGTATACTGTGAACCATGGGGTCGCAAGGAGGCATCGAATAAAAGTCAATAAACTCACTACCTTTGATACGGTAAAGAACAAACTTTTCTAATTGCATGGCTAAAATGGGATTTAACAAATAACTACATGTATACTAGCCCCCTAAATTAAATCACATCGACATTTGGGGGGGGGGGGGGGGTATGTTATGTAAAACAGTGTCCATATGGGATCGATAACAAAACTGTACAAGTAATACACCTCTTTTGTAACAAATAAACAAAACATTCGCTGGTATTTCCCCCAAAAAAAACTTTTTAGAAAACACTCAAATATCAGCAAAATATAGACATTACAAAAGAAGCGAATTTCTGATTGAACATTATTATGTGATTTTTTTTTAAAGCAACCTAAAACAGATTTTCGCTCAATTCAACCACATAATAATATATTTCATTCGAAAGAAATTGACTGGTAACTTATGCTTAGTACGAGAGAGAGACTAGAAAGGGGGAGGGGGCTATCAATTGGAGGAAGGAAGAATATTATGAAGGTGAATGGAGATCAAAACATATTTTGCTAACCTGAACGTGCCCGTGGTTGATGATAAACATCTCCCTTCCGATCTCTCCTCTTCGGCAGATATAGTCTCCAGGTGAGAATATTTGTGATCGTAATTTTAGGACCAGCTCACATAATAGACCTTGTTCACAGTCCTCAAATATCTTCACCTGCAAAGAAAAAACAAATCTAAGATGAAAAATCCACCGCAAAAGTAAAAATGTTTGTTACATGTTAACAACACTAGTTATAAATACTAAAGATCAATTATATTAAATAAGATGACATCGAAAATGTTGTTGCCTGTACTCATAAATGTCATAAAAATATAGGAATTAGAAATGCATAGAAGTATGAATATATTGTTTTTCCATCTGCCTGATGCCGCATTTATATACTGACTTTATTATTAACTTTTTCTTTAATTTCTTTAAAAAAAAGATATAATATTATATTACCAAACAGTTTCATAAATCAATATAAACTAAGCGCGGGATGCATATGTTAATGGGTGAAAATCCTCGACTTCAAAACAATCATGACTCTGTATGAAATCATCATTTTACCTTTTTTTGTTTCACTATTCCCTAAGCACACAAATACAAAAAATTTCCCTTCTAACAACACCCCCCTCCCAGAAAAAAAGGGGGAAATAATCGGTAATGTTGAATTTGCAGTTTTGACTGATTTTGTTTTTCTATTATACCTTCTTGAGTGTATCGAGGTGTACGTGAATAGCAATCTCCGCCCGAAGTCTGGGAGGGAGAATGTCGAGGAACGTCTGGTCGTCTAGGGCTTGTGTTCTGAAACAGATACATTTTAGAAGTTTCCATAGTGAAGAAATCAAGAATTACTGGCTGAAATCCTATTCTTAACGCAAATTACATTTCCATGTAGGAGGAAATTCCCTGCAAATGAAAAACATTATAAACCTCTCTGTGTAAAGGAAATAAAATGTATAGTTTTCATGCAAGTCACGCAAAATGTAACCAATTGTTTCTTTTTAACAATTAGCGTTTACACCTCTCAGTCTTACAAAACACTTTTTTTTTTCTTTTTTTTTTTAATTATTGAGTGGTTTGAAAATTATGAAAACATGAATAATTATCATGACAAGGAGAAAAGTCAGTGAAATGACTTTACGATACTTTTCTGAAAAATTGAGGAGGTAATAAGAACCACTGGTACAATGAGCTTATATTTCTTTCACAAGGTAATGTGGCAAGAAGTAAATGTTAGATCACCTATGCGCATGCATTAATTTGAGCTGGAAAAAGCAGAAATAGCACTAAAAGCGAAAGTGAAAAGTTGGCACTTTCGAGAAAAAAAAAATCAATGAATGAATAGACAAATAATTTGTTTATTTACTAATCAGTCGGTAAAAAAACTGGAAGAAAATAGAAAATAGCTAATTAGTAGTGACTAACCTGCTCCAGGCGTAATCTGACCATTTCTTGACTCTATCTTGTAAATGCTCAGGTACTCGACGATGATTCATATAAAACTTGATTGCATCCATTCTGACGATGTGAGGAAACAAAAACGATATAGTGATGGTTAAAATCATTACCAATATTTCAGCATCGTATGAAAATGATCGGACCAGCATTTCAGCTGATTGAAAACGTGTATAGAATGTAGTTTATCATGGGTTTGTGAAACTATGATTTTATCATTGAATTGTTTCTTTCTTTGTTCTAGGATTTGCTTTCTTGTACTATAGAAATATTTGCAGTATAGCTAGATAATGATTACAACAGCCTGTATATCACGTATACCGTATATAAAACATCATATTTACTATCAATGTAAACACAGAATAGGCAGATATCGGCATTAAAAATAACGTAGGCCTCAATGATATAAGGTGTGTACAAATATTAAAGGTAATACAAATTTTTGGGAAAATTTGAAAATTGGGTGGATAGTAATTCTTTACAATTTTGATATATTTGGATGCCCCTGTGGGTGTGTTATAAGCACTAGAAAATTTAAGCCCCTAAAACACTTCTGCTTTCTAGAAAATGTTAGTATAAACAAATTTCAAATAGCGCCTATATACGGCCGTACAGCGGTAGCTGCCACTATGACAATCTCAGAATATGTAGTTGTGATATATAATTTCGAAACGGGAATAGCTAATTGGTCGGTTTTTGTCAAGAAACATTGTTTGATAGCGTAATTAATATCGTGAACTTGAGAGGGAGCTATACAACATAAAGAGTTTATTATTTACAATTTCATAACTTTAGACTCGATTTCAACCGCAACAATGATCACTGAATATTGTAGGATCGCATATGCTTACAATTTGTTCATTTGAACCAAATTCATGACCCCATACCAAAAGTTTGTATTACTTTTAAGCAACGTATTCGATATTCTTCCATAATTCATATCCAGTAATCATTTGCATTATTTAGATCATTCATATCCAATTCCTCATCAACTCAGTCATGAAGCAGACGTATTGCAACATTGAGAAATATGATATGAAAATAGGGGTTATTGTTTTGTTCTGCCTCTGTCTCTGTCTCTCTGTGCCTGTTTTTTCTTTCTCTCTCTCTCTCTCTCTCTCTCTCTCTTCATTCTCTGTGTGATTCGATGTTCAGCCTTATATGGGGGCTTAGCATTATACGTATACACACTGTTAATCAATACGCATCTTATATTTTAACGTGCCATAATGAGTTTTTGTACAACATACTTTGTGGTAATTTCATAACTTTAGACTCGATTTCAACCGCAACAATGATCACTGAATATTGTAGGATCGCATATGCTTACAATTTGTTCATTTGAACCAAATTCATGACCCCATACCAAAAGTTTGTATTACTTTTAAGCAACGTATTCGATATTCTTCCATAATTCATATCCAGTAATCATTTGCATTATTTAGATCATTCATATCCAATTCCTCATCAACTCAGTCATGTAGCAGACGTATTGCAATATTGAGAAATATGATATGAAAATAGGGGTTATTGTTTTGTTCTGCCTCTGTCTCTGTCTCTGTCTCCCTGTGCCTGTTTTTTCTTTCTCTCTCTCTCTCTCTCTTTCTCTCTCTCTCTCTCTCTCTCTCTCTCTCTCTTCATTCTCTGTGTGATTCGATGTTCAGCCTTATATGGGGGCTTAGCATTATACGTATACACACTGTTAATCAATACGCATCTTATATTTTAACGTGCCATAATGAGTTTTTGTACAACATACTTTGTGGTAAATTCTTGTCTGGATGCGTTCATATTGCTGATGACGTCACCAACATTTCCAACAACAGCTGCAAATAGGAACACGCCGATTAGAAACGTCATTCCCGTAAATGAATATTCCTAGAAAAACATTAACATAGTAAAGAAACAAAATATCAATATCAATATCAATTATTGTTGACCATTATCGTTAAACAAATTTTGAAAGAAAAAAACGAGGAAGATAAAATAAAAAATTCTCAGTAAATTTGAACAAGAATGAATAGGGTTAAATCATGCTTGCTATTATGCAAGGGTGCGTAGCGATCGAGGAAAAATTTCCATTTTAGAGCTTTACAAGATTAAGGCCTATGCGACGTTACTCTGTATAACTACAACTCCTATAAGTCATTATACAAACATTATTTTTTCGAAATTGTTTCAAAATTTTGGGGGCACCCCCCGGTCCCTGACGCCCCACAACCCGAATTACCGCATTGAAATCACAGTGATTTGGAGGTCAATAAGAATGTGAGCAAATGCTTTGGGGATCATAATATTATCAAGCACGAGTGTAAAACAAAAACATTAATGCAGGAAAGCACACACCGGAAAGGGGGTGAGAATACAATGGGTATTTCCCATGGACTAAGAGGGCGCTAGTCTATGCAGTTGGTAAACGACATGAGGTGTCCTAGCCTATAATCTAGGCGGAGTGCCGAGCTTTTTTCTTTGCTGCTAGACTAACCCTAAGCAGAACGTCTGATACGGCGAGACTACGAACCGTGAGTCGCGAAGCGGCTCACCGCCTATAATCACTGGTCTAGCTTTAGTCGTTGTTTTTTTATTATCGACATTGAATCCGTGGCAGTTTTCGTACGGAAAACTGCCACGGATTCCTCGTCGATAATAAAAAAAAAACAACGACTAAAGCTAGACCAGTGATTATAGGCGGTGCGCGGCTCGCGTTATTTTTTTATGCGGCACAGATTGGGGCATGGCGCGTGTTAAACCTATGGGAAGTACGTTCTTTCCCTTCTGAATAGTGTCTGCACGTACGTGAGACTAGTCATGTTCGCTAGCGCATTAGCGCTGCGAAGAAGTTTGTATATCCATCGCGAACTATGTGTTTAGATAACATTCCTCTTCGTTTAAGTTAGTTAAGTTTTATTGACTAATTAGTGTGATGTTCTCCTTATTGACGTGCTGCCTCCTCTTCAGATTTCCAATTTGATTTTAATTGTTGATGTAATGATTTTCCATGCGGTAGTGGATTACATGTAACCACTATTAAAAACAGACCTCTACTACTTATACTGTCTAGTACGCACACGACCAGTATTAGTCTGTAAATCAAGACCCCTTTAAAAAAAAAGCCCCAATCTGTGCCGCATAAAAAAATAACGCGCGCGGCTCACGGTTCGTAGTCTCGCCGTATCAGACGTTCTGCTTAAGGTTAGTCTAGCAGCAAAGAAAAAATCTCGGCACTCCGCCTAGATTATAGGCTAGAGGTGTCCAAGTATCAACGTATTTATTTCCTTATCACTAAAGAAAAAACTATTCTTTTTGTTTGAAAAATTAAACAAAATCTCAAATTATATGTTTGAATAAGGCCATTTAAAAATATATACATGTTTAGTGTCCCCGCCCGCTTCCTTTTCGGGGGCCGCCTCCTAATTTTTTTATTTATTTTTTTAAAGAAAAAAACATGAAAAACACTGCTAAAATGGATCTATTTCTGATTTAAAAAAAAAAAAAAAAGTTGGCGGCCATCTTGAAAAATAGCCCGACTGTCAGGGAAAATGTACCGAGCGGCCATTTTGGGCGGCCATTTGAAAGAAAGAAGAAAAAAAAGGGCCTCCTCCTTCCTATTTTTCGAAAAAACAGGACGCTAAACATGTTTTTTTTTTTTTTTATTTGGCCTAAGGTTTGAAGCGGGAATGAAAAGTTGTCAGATAAAATGAGCCCTGCCATTCAGTGAATTTTGTTGAGGAGGTGGAAAAGAAACAACATTCCTTCTTAAAATACGAATTTGTATTAATAGCCCCCCCCCCCCCCCACCCCCCTCCCCTATAGTGGGCACTGCTCTACCTGTTTAGTTGTATATGGATAACACAAACACACTGTATAATACGTTGTGTACATGAGCAACAACCATTTGCCACTAACTATAAAACCAGAAAGGACGCGTAAACATGTGGGTGACTCCCCCCCCCCCCCCCCCCCCCCCCGCCAGACATCATCCAAACAGTCTCATCAGTTGAGCATGTTAAATTACCATGGTGAAGTTCAATTCATTTGCAGCAATCCTGGTTAATTTCATGCATTTCGTACGTAGGGGGATATTTATGTCTGTTCATTGACGTGCACACCGCACTCAGGGTACTTAGACAAAAGAGGGCGACATCCGAACTTCGTTCTGAAGATAATTTAGTTCACTGACAATTTGAACTGTATAATATACCAAAGCCTAAAAGGGATCATTTACAAACGAAACACAAATAGCTCAATTAACCAGTATATTCACTTTGGTTTTTATGTTGTAAAGGGAAACCGTTTCAAATCTAATGATTGTTGAACTCGCACATAGCAACAGAAGTCGGGCTGATGTGTGCCTAGCAAGCGCTTAAAATTTGCCAAGGTTAACTTACCGTATTGGTGACTGGGTTAGGGGTTCCTCCAATAGTTGTAAGCGTTACAGTCGACCAATACATGATCTTGATATATTTGCTGTACATAGAGAAACCATATAACACCAATTATGTTTTGACTGGCGTAGCATGACTACAGAAACAACTCGGTTGATTTTTCTCCCCCCCCCCCTCCCTTATTCTCTCTCTCTCTCTTTCTAACACATACACTATATCCATGGTTAATACCTTTTCTCTATGGATGAGATGCTCTAGCTTTGTGCATCTCCTTCTCACTCTCCATTTCCTACCCCCCCCCCTCCTATCCTAATCAGCTAATCTATCTATACACGTATACCTATTATTACAATGTGCACAATGGACACATGATCAAACCGTTTCATTAATTTTACTCTCAATGAGAGGTTGAGTGGGAAGATCAAAACGGTTCCCAGCCACTCAAACTAATCATCTTTATAATAACAATAATGAATTGAAAAATTATATTAATCTGTAAACCTCGTATATCTGAACTATGTACTATACAGGTAATATCCATTATGTATGTAAAAAACAAACATAATCTATGTATGTGGAAAGAAAGAGAGCCATTAGGGACTTTTAGATTTGCACGTTGACAGCTTTGACTGCAACGTGTGACGTCATTCGGCGATCGAGAGGGCGTCAACCTTGTTTTTCCTAAATCTAGTACGGTACTAGTATATGCCGCGTGCGCATAAAATATAGAGTTCCTCAGGTAGACAAAGGAACATCCCTTCCCTGCTATTATGTACAAATGTGTAGAACAGGTGTCACATGCATATTCATCTGTTACACAATTTTACAAAATAGCAGTGAAGGGATGTTCTACCACAGCAATAGGCCAGTTTCGTAATGTAACCAAATTTAATGCGTCTTTGTGAAGTGCCTCAATACAAACTATTTCATTCACCTGATAAGAATAATAGTATTTCAATAGACAGAATCCTAACTGCATACATAAGTTGTTGCCAGGTTGCACAAACATTATGGCTTGACCTACCTAGCAACACTTAATATATGCAGTTGCATTCTGACTATTGAAATAATATTATTCCTATCAGGTGAATGAAATAATTTGTATTGAGGCACTTCACAAAGACCTATGCATTAAATTTGGTTACATTACGAAAATGGCCTATTGTTGAGGGTAGAATGAGGAATTGTATATTTTGTCCTCTTTCTTTGTCTGTCATGTTCATAGTGTTACTTCCTGCATGCATGTATATCGTCGAGTGCAATCTAAAAGAATTCTAATTGTAGTCAACATGGGCAGTTGAGTGCGTTGACACGCATGATCAGTCGGCGTTCGACGTGTTCTCGTCCACTCAATCTAAAAGTCCCTATTATTAGTAAACACGAACCCCCAAAAAGCGATTTCAATCGTTCCTATCGTATTACTTTTAGAAATCAAGGTCAGATTACAAAAGATAAATGAGCATCAAGAACTTATAGAGGTCACAGCCATTCTTGCACCTTGCATCACGATCTATCACATACAGAGAAATATATACATATGTACAACCAGAAGAGGCTGCAGAATGTTTTTCTTTGATTAAATTGTCTGACTGCTTTGCATCTCAAAATTATGGTGGCCCTGAAGGGACATCGCGAATAGACTAAATCGTGAAAAATATGCGATAAAATTCACGATATCGTCAATTTTATCGCATATTTTTCACGAAGAAATTCACGAAATTGACGATATCGTGAACTTTATCGTGAACTTTTCACGATGAAATTGACGATATCGTGAATTTTATCGTGAAAATTTCACGATATAAAGTTCACGATATCGTCAATTTTATCGTGTACTCTATCGTGTACTCTATCGTGTACTCTCCTGACGGGCGCTTCGTAAACAAAACCAGCCCTAGCTGGGGGAGACAGAGAGAAGGAAAAAAGGGAAAGGGAAAGAGAAGATAAAAGGAAAGAAAGAATAATAAGAAGAAAAGAGGGAAACGGGGGGGGGCGAAGGGCTCTTGCCTCCTCCTCACTCCCCCCCCCCCGCCAAAAAATAAATAAGGAGAGAGAGAAGGGAAAGGGAAAGGGAAAGAAAATATAAAAGGAAAGAAAGAAGAGGAAGAAGGAAAGGGGGAAACGGGGGAAGGGCGAAAGGCTCTTACCTCCCCCCCCCCCCCCCCGCCAAAAAAATAAATAAGAGAGAGAGAGAGAGAGAAGGGAAAGGGAAAGAAAGAAGAGGAATAAGAGGGAAACAGGGGAAGGGCGAAGGGCTCTTGCCTCCCCCCCCCCGCCAAAAATAAATAAGAGAGAGAAGGGAAAGGGAAAGAAAATATAAAAGGAAAGAAAGAAGAGGAATAAGAAGGAAAGAGGGAAACGGGGGAAGGGCGAAGGGCTCTTGCCTCCTCCCTCCCCACCCCCCGCCAAAAAAATAAATAAGAGATAGAGAGAGAAGGGAAAGGGAAAGGGAAAGAGAAGATAAAAGGAAAGAAAGAAGAGGAAGAAGAAGAAGAAAAGAGGGAAACGGGGGCGAAGGGCTCTTGCATCCCCCCGCCCAAAAAATAAATAAGAGAGAGAGAGAGAAGGGAAAGGGAAAGAGAATAAAAAAGGAAAGGAAGAAGAATAAGAAGAAAAGAGGGGCTCTTGCGGGAGGACCCCCCTCCCGCGCCAACAAATAAATAGGAGAGAGAGAGAGAGATAGAGAGAAGGGAAAGGGAAAGGGAAAGAAAAAATAAAAGGAAAGAAAGAAGAAGACGGAAAGAGGGAAACGGGGGAAGGGCGAAAGGCTCTTACCTCCCCCTCCCCCCTCCCGCCATAAAGGGAAAGAGAAGGGAGAGGGAAAGAAAATATAAAAGGAAAGAAAGAAGAGGAAAAAGAATAAGAAAAGAGGGAAACAGGGGCGAAGGGCTCTTGCCTCCTTTCTTTTCTTTCTTTTCCTTTCTTTCCTATTCTCCCTCTTTTTCGTTTTTCTTTTTCTTTCTTTCCCTTTCCTTCTCTCTCTCTCTCTTATTTATTTTTTGGCGGGGGGCGGGGGGACGAGGCAAAAGCCCTTTGCCCCCGTTTCCCTCTCTTCTTCTTCTTCCTCTTCTTTCTTTCCTTTTATCTTCTCTTTCCCTTTCCCTTTCCCTTCTCTCTCTCTCTCTGATTTATTTTTTGGCGGGGGGGGGGGGAGGGGGGGCAAGAGTCCTTCGCCCTTCCCCCGTTTTCCTCTTTTCTTTTTCTTCCTCTTCTTTCTTTCCTTTTATCTTCTCTTTCCCTTTCCCTTTCCCTTCTCTCTCTCTCTCTGATTTATTTTTTGGCGGGGAGGGGGGGGGGAGTGAGGAGGAGGCAAGAGCCCTTCGCCCGGCCCCCCCCCCCCCGTTTCCCTCTTTTCTTCTTATTATTCTTTCTTTCCTTTTATCTTCTCTTTCCCTTTCCCTTTTTTCCTTCTCTCTGTCTCCCCCAGCTAGGGCTGGCTTTGTTTACGAAGCGCCCGTCCGGGAGAGTACACGATAGAGTACACGATAGAGTACACGATAAAATTGACGATATCGTGAACTTTATATCGTGAACTTTTCACGATAAAATTCACGATATCGTCAATTTCATCGTGAAAAGTTCACGATAAAGTTCACGATATCGTCAATTTCGTGAATTTCTTCGTGAAAAATATGCGATAAAATTGACGATATCGTGAATTTTATCGCATATTTTTCACGATTTAGTCTATTCGCGATGTCCCTTCAGGGCCACCATACAAAATAGATGTTGTTGATGAACAGATCGGTACGTCTCACACGAACCGAAAACCTTGGCCGAAGCACGAAAGAAAACAATGCGTTTTAATAGGAAACATAGCAACTTGTATGTTGCTATTGTATTACGTATTGTAACAGGTGGTCGACTTCGGCAAAGATAAATACCACGTTTAAAAGTTAGATGACAGATGATGTCACAAGGGGAATGAGATCTTGAGGTCTTTTTGGGTGGAGCTTAGCAAGTTTGAAAAACAAATATTTCAAAAAATATTAAAAAATCTATGAAACAAATCCAAAAATTTACATATCAAAATATGAGAAGTATGCAGGACTGCACACCAACAGGAATACACTTGTATTTTGATGTCATGGGCCCTTTAATTGTATGAAAAGAAAATAACATGACAAGTCTTACCTCATAAAATCTTCCTCCATCGTATCCAGTGGATAAACCCAAGCATTCACTCCAAAGCCTTCGAACTGCAAAAAAAAAAGGAATAGGATGGCAAAAATAAATCTAATCTTAATAGACCAGTTCACGGTTTGCACACGTTCCAAATGACCCCGACTATCCATAAATCTTCAGAACATGACGAGGTCCCACTTTGTACATTTTGAAATAATCACTCCTACATCGATGGAGGTGCTACATAAATAGCATTTGTTTCCCCTTTTCAGAGAATACTTCCACCTGTGTATGCTCGTGCATAAATGAATAATGATTGCATAACTTTCAAGAGCACGTATCCAGTATTTTGTCTCCGTGTATTTCACAATTTGGTCTGCAGCGACCTTTATCTGCTAATGCTCAGACTGCAACTTTTGAACTGGCTTATTCCCTAGTACACCATTGTACATTTATATTTTATATTTACATTATATACATATATTATGGCGAATTTTGGGCTCCCAACACAATAGAGAGGCTTTAAAATCTCACTTCTCTCCTCGCTCCTCCCCTTCTTTCTCTCTTCATTTTTTTCCCTCTGTGTCCTATCTGTTGATAAGGGTTTTTTCTGATGAAAAGGTATGTTTTTATTTGATTTTTATAGGGCATCGTCCCCAACGAGCCTATGGCTTTTATGACACCCCCCTCCCCAAATATTTATGACCTTATTTGTAATCAAATTATTTATATATTCCAAAACCCTTTTTTTAAAGAGTGGAAACAAATAAAAGAAATGAAATGAAAAAAAATCATCATTTTACATTTCATCGGTGATAATTAAGATACTAATGCAACGCATTGATTTGATCCATAATTTTAACGAAAATGAAGTGAAGTGATGGTAAATTGAAGTTGGTCAATTAAAATTTTAATCTCTGTTTCCAATCGACGAATCGCAAATACTTTTTGTTATAGTTTTTTTCTCACAAACTTAAACGTGTCATAATAGCCTTTAAAGAATCATCAATATCAAATTTGGGAGATTCACTTAATATGATTTCTTACACTAGCAACATGCAAGATTGAGTAAACGACGTCCGAAGCCGAAATCAAGTGCAAAAATGTTTTCTAATATGATTTGTACGAAAATCAGTGTATATATCCCGTTTCTTCATCTTGTTTGATTGCATGGACAAAAATAACGCAAATGGGAACAAACATTTAAAGATAGCAGATGGCAGTGAAAATGAGTAAACAAGAGGCCACAACAAGGGAGCAATGTCAGAAATGGAGATGCCTCACGTTGGGCATGGGATATTGAACCCCTTTTCGCGGTCTCCACTCTCCACTACACAATGTAAAGATGCTATTAACTGTCCATACCATTTACAAGTACATTCTTTTACGATCGATTTAGCATCACTAGAATTTAGAATGTGAGATGTAGAATTCATTCACATAAACATGGCACTCGAGATTTTATTCATTCATTCAAAACCGAGTTTGGTATCATTTTGTTGGAATATATAAAAAGCATACCACGTCCAACCGGCGGCACTATACTTGACCTTTTATTAATTTTTAAACTTTTTTCAAGAGGAGCGGGAGGGGGGGGCGGTAGTTAGCGAACCTAGTTTTACGCAACAAAAAAACGGCGAAACTTCGGCGGGCGTTTCTAAAATCCCCACTCAACAGGTGGGTTTTTAAATTTCGATTTTTTTTTTTTTTTGTCGCGTTTGTCGGTAGTTGCAAAACACCAGAATTTGCGAAAAACCGACGATTTTTGGTTGCAGTGTAAATGCAGCTACTATAGAAAAATCGTGCAAATATACAATTTTTGTAACGAAATCAAACTTAATGCACAAATCTTGGTTAAGTGCCATGTAACAAATTATTTCATTCACCTGTTATGAATAATTGCATTTCACTAGTCAGAATACGAATTGCTTACATTAATTGTTGCTAGGTAGGACAAATGTTATGGTTTGGCCTACATGTACCTAACGACGCGCAATACATGCGATTCGCATTCTAACTCTTGAATCGATCATTCGTAACAGGTGAATTAAATAATTTGTAAACTAAGATTTAAGCGTTAAATTTGATTACATTACGAGAATGGCCTATTACACCACAAATCTCTTAATTTGTGTGAATAGGCTGTTTATTGAATAATCCATTTATGCATCGAGCATAGCTTGTCAGAGTTCACTCGGTGTACCGCGATGGAAGCTCAGCTAGCTGTCCACAATCGTCAAACCAAAATTAAATGTATCTAGGTTTCCCGGTCTGCTGCTAACAAACAGAACGTCATTCCTGACTCGAAACAAACAGTTTGCAATTGGATGACGTTTCTGGGCGATGTGGGTAGATTGATCTGTGTTTAGATGGTATTTAGCTAGTGGACTCTCAATCACGGCTCGTATTACAGTAAGAGGTAGCATCCATGTTTTTGACGGTCTCCTGCTTCCATACATAATTATGAGCGCCAACATTCGTCCAGGGTCCCGTTTCACAAAACTTGTCATCAGTGACAAATGACAGTTCTGTTATAAGCTACTGAAATCCTCGCTTCTGATTGGTTATCAGCAGATTTGTCACTGATTTTTGTCATTTGTCATTGGAAAAAGGCTTTGTGAAACAGGCCCCCGGTAAACATTGACTGTCTCTTGCGCCGCCTCCATATAATTTTCCTCTCTATCTTTAATGCTTTTTTGTTTAATTACTGTTCCTCTTGTCAACACCGGAGTGTTGGCTCAGTCGGTAGAGCGTCCGCCTCACAACCGGGAGGTCGTGGGTTCGAACCCCGGCCGCGTCATACCAAAAGACGTTAAAAGATGGGAGTTGTTGCTACCTTGTTTGGCGTTCAACAATAAGGGATAGAGCAACGTCGATCTGGCGCTGCTCAGTGGCTGCCGGGCTCACGATCAATTGGGCAAAAAGAATTTCCCTTTCGGTTTAATACAAAAATTTGGAGTGGACTATTTAGGCTATTATTATTATTATTATATCTCTTTCATTATCGTGTTCTTATGTTGCTTTCATCGTACTTTTCCGTCTTTTTCCTGCGAGTTATACGTTACAATTAAACTATCCTTCACCATAAATAAAGAAAGGAAAACAAGTACTTTTTCTTCATACGGCATTCAAAAGGATTAATAGTCATTGGAAAAAGGCTTTGTGAATCATTTGTCATTGGAAAAAAGTACGTTTTCTTCATACGGCATTCAAAAGGATTAATAGTCATTGGAAAAAGGCTTTGTAAAACAGGCCCCCGGTAAACCTTGACTGTCTGTTGCGCCGCCTCCAATATAATTTTCCATCTTAATTTTCCGTCTTTTTCCTGCGAGTTATACGTTACAATTAAACTATCCTTCACCATAAATAAAGGAAGGAAAACAAGTACGTTTTCTTCATACGGTTAATGGCTCTGAAATGGACTATCCAACCGTTTTATCATTCTATCATTGTTATATAAGTCTTTGATTTTGTTATATTGTGTTATTGTTTTTTATGATGATTTTCGGAAATAAAACAAACAAACAATACGGCATTCAAAAGGTTTAAATAAAAAAACTTAAAATACCAAAGAGTTATTTGATCTTATTCAATCATTTTAAATCGACTATTCATATTCGCTTCTAAGAAAATATAAAAGAATAGTTTAGCCGAGGTGCTAGAAGAATCCAGAGATAAACACTACGTGTAAACAAATATTAAAAAATAGCAGCAGCACCTGTTGAACAACTGTGAACCATTTGCTCAAATTGGCCCTATTTATTATTGATTCAACACGTATTATTGCTTCCAATCACTAACAGCTTTAAAATTTGCGATTAAAAAAACCCCTTTAAAATCGACGAGTTAAATGAAACTTGAATCCAGTGAATACTCGTATGCTGACATTAGGTTGATATGAATATAAAAGGATCTCAAGAAAAATTCGTCATCACTTGTAACGCGAGGTTTTAGTTATTTCCCTCCAAGATTTATTACTTGATCACCCGCTCGGCATAACAGATCATGAGCAAACGTTGCGATTGATTCGCAAAAAACATTAAACATAATCGATGGAAGGGAGCGAGACCAGATGGCATACAGAGAGGTAGTTTCTCATCCAAGAAGGTAAGAGGAAAATAATGGAAAAGGATGAGAAGGAACACATAAAAAAGAGAAAATGAGAAAATGGCGACATTAAAGAGGTATCATTGCCGTCTATCTATCATAGAATAGTAGCCATTGTAGTAGAAAAAAGGAGAGAAGGAGGAGGAAGAGGAAGAAGAAGAAGAAGAAGACAAAGAAGAAGATGCTGCTGATGATGATGATGATGATGAAGATGAAGATGAAGAAGAAGAAGAAGAGGTAGTAGTAGTAGTAGTATAGTAGTAGTAGTGGTAGTAGCAGTAGTAGTAGTAGTTGGAGCAGTAGTAGTAGTAGTAGTAGTAATAGTAGTAGTAGTATAGTAGGAGTAGTAGTAGTAGTAGAAGTAGTAGTAGTAGCAGTAGTAGTAGTAGAAGTAGGTATAGCACACCAAAAATAAGTACAACAAACACATGTTATCTGATGATTGCAAATGATTAAGCTTTATGAAAGCTTCAAAAAACAGAATTGAAATCGGTCAATGCGTTGTGATTTTATACCATTTTTTTGATATCGCAAAATTACCGAAAAACCTGCCAGAAATGGTCTAATTGGCAAAAATGGCAAAATTCGACAAAGTTGACAACTTAATTCATCACTTTCTTGGACACAAATAATAAATTAAATTATCAGACACTAAAATATCATCTTTGTGGTAAAAAATACAAAAAAGAAAATTCATATACCTATTACCGTTTTGAAAACAGAAGCCAACAAAATAAGTCATTTTTGCAATTTTTGCGAATCTGCAGATATGAAAAAGTTGTTAAAATAACTAAGTCCGCCTAATTAATATGCGCAAATGTAATCAAATCAAAACCGAACATGATACATCAGTGAAACCTATGTATATCAGACAGGTATGGAAATATATTTAATTTAAAATATTAAAAAATCATGAATATTCATCAAATATGCAAATTAATTTCAGCTAATTATATATTCGCGCACTCAATATGCAAATAAGGAAAGTCAAACCGTTCATTTTTGGGGATTTTTATAATCATATATTCATAGATATTTACACCAAATATTAACCTTGAATTCCAAATATTTTTGCAATGCCAATAAAATATGGCGATGGAAATTACTCGGATCACCGTCACAGCTATTTCCTCATGTTGGTCACAAATTATTCAGAAAAACTGATAATATGATAACAATTTGCAGACTTTCAGCTACATCACAGAATATTTGTATTTTTAAACATGTCAGATTTGAGGATTTATGACGATTTTCCGAGAAACCATTCAACAGGCCATAACATTCCACAGGGACTTAATTTCAGAGTAACAAAAGGTTTGGTGACCCTAGTACAGTTGTGGCTACCTTCAATGTCAACAAAAATTTAATTTAATGAGTGGAACACATGAGGATATTGCATTTTTTGTAGGGGAGTTTTATACATTGAGGTGCATTTTCACCACGCAGAATAACAATGCGAATGAATGGGCGATCAGTGGGCCATGTCACACATGGCTGGAAAGACAATATTCTAATTAAATAATTTAACATATTTCCCACATGCCTATAACAATGAAACTACACAGAATTGTAGTTAAAGGTATGCTTGAGATATATGTGAAATAAATTTTGGTAAATATTGTTTAGTTTTTTTAAAATAAATTTACAAAAATTGCTATTTCTACCAACTGACTGCTGTTGTGTGTGTGTGTGCATGGGGCAGACTGTGTGCACAGGCATTGTGATCACCCTAGTAGTAGTAGTAGAAGTAGCAGTAGTAGTAGTAGTAGTAGTAGTATAGTAGTAGTGTGCATGTGTGTACTACTATATGTTATGTAGGCAGGTGGGTAGGTATTAATATTTTGATTCAATTAACTCGTCTGTTTAAGATTTATAATGATTCGACCGTAAAACAATCACACCTACTGTACATGTAACGTACACATTCTTTAGATATTATCACTAAAATACATTTACAGACACACTCTGTATACATTAGATGGGAAATTCAGGAGCAAATCGATTCCTCCTGAAAACATGAGTGTCTATCTGGCCCTCACTTCGACTCGTATAGCGCTGCTAAAACAAATTATTGCGGTTCTTTTCGACTCACGTCAATCACACAAACTTATTGCAGAGAGTTTGTGTCTAATAAAGTAATTTTGATTTGACTAGCAAAAAATAGTAAAGTATCAAAAGTCCTTAAGTTCGTCAATATCACCGAATCCTTCGTAACGGTATACCAATATGTGAGGATTTCCCCGACTAGTACTTTATTATGCTAAGATACAGCTTTTCAAAATGAGAGACAAATCTCCTCAATCCCATCTCCCACAACAGCATCTCTGATTAAGAAGGAAACAAATTACAAAATATTTTTGTGATACACCCGGCTTATTTCTTTGAACTCTTCATTTTCAGTTTTTACGCATGAAACCATCATTGGTTGAGGTGACAGAAAGTCCAAAACTCAATCAACATAAATTATCATGTGTCAGAAATGTAATATTGGGCTGTAAATGACGTGTCTACGAATCGCCTATTATTGAAATGTACTACTAGCGTATAATGAGATATGCATTTATTTCATATCCATCTATTGTCGAAAAGGGCGCTTTGATCGGATAATTCTTTATTTATATATGCATTAAACACCATATCGCCGACCGTCGTGCAGAAATAACGATAATGGGGATTTTACCATTACAATTATTTGTTAGTCATGTTTGGAATCATTCAAAGTGATACACGCCACTGTTCCTACTTTTAAAAAAAATATATTTTTACGATAATTGGCATTTTCTTTTCTGTCACTTCTCACAAATCCAGATCAAGTTATTTTCATTTGCGGCTGCAACCCTTTATTTTCTAGATTTTCGTCTCCGATAAGAAGGAGTTGTTTGAAGATCCGCTATCCATTGTTGTGATCGTAATTTATTTGAGCACTGATGTTTTTTCCAATGATTGGTTTTGTTTGATACATTAAACATGACCGCATTTTTTTTTGTTATCAGTTGGTATCTTACCTCTGACAGCATGTAATAAAAGCACCCGATCCAATGTATGCTGATTGCTAGATACATAGATAGCTTGAATGCACGTAGGCGATTTGGGTTGCTTGTGCGGCTATGATGTAAAAGACAAGATAAAAAGGGAAGAGAAAAAAAGTCAAAAATAATGTGTAATTCGATTCAACAATATATCTAACTGATCTGTATTTTGTGTATGTTTGAGAATCAAGTATCAATTCTCTAATCGTTCCAAACATTTTGTAATAATTACACGACGACATTAAAACTTAGGTTAAAACTGAAAATGGAGAGGGTTAGCTTTCAGAAGATGACCTCTTTTCTTCGAATCTAATTTCAATCTTCTGTTGTATTATCAGGAATATAATGTAAAACGATCACTATGTGAATTTATTTCTTCAGGTAAAATGAAGCATAAAAACTATTTTGTAAATGAGTCCTTGGTGCGTTATCCAACTGTTAAAAATTCTTATATTGACCAAGTTTACTTATTCCGTACATATAAACAGAGAAACTTGTATAAATTTAAGGATGCAACTGCTAGTAATGTGCTTAAGGTTTACATTCAGACGCACCCTCTTATATGGCAGCTAACGTTGATAACGAGACTACTACCCAATTTGTGTATTAAGCGTCATGAGATATTGATATTGGAACATATGGATGTCTGAACATTTGGCCATCCCCGACCCGCCCACGCCCCGCACCCCTCTCCCTTTTTCGGTGCCGTTTGAAGCGTTCTCACCTGTCCCATTTAGCGAAGAAAGTGTCCAGTGAGTGCCATTTTAAGAGTTTTGGAAGCCGCAGAACTGTTCTGGATATTTGAGCTAAACATAGAACAGAGAAAGAGAATCATCACATGAATAGTATCAATCAAAGATTTGTATATAGTTTTTAAAAATGTTAGATTACAAAATTGCCCAACATGATTATGGACACAATATTACACTCATGTTAGTTAACATTACCCATTATGATTACAGTGTATCATAATCATGATGAAGAACGGTAAAATGGGTTTATAATTTCCCTGAAAAAGATGTGCAATTCGTTGCTATTTTCAATTTCATTTTTTTGGAGGGGGGGGGGGGGAGTGGCTTGAATTCATTGGGGGGGGGGGTGGGGTGGTAGAACCACTTTAGCCAAAGCATGTAATATTAACATAGAAATTAGTATTTTCTTACATGAAAAACGTCAAACGTAAAGAATACAATGTGGAACAGGAATACCAATGCAGGGGGGGGGGGGGCTGTGTAATGACGACAGGAATTCAGAAAATTCGTGGCCTGGAAAAAGTATATTCCATCCATCAAGTAATTTGTGGTATATACACGAACAAGTAATTTACACCACATCACCCTCGCTTAGGCAGTGGCTGATCCAGGCTTCTCTGTCCGGGGGGGGGGGGGGGGGGGGCACGGTGAAAGGGAGATTATCGCATTTTCAAAGAGGGAGGGGCTAAGCCTCATAAATCTCCGTCGAGACCCATCCTCCTTCCCCCCCCCCCCGAAAAGTGTTTACATTTGGACAGGGACATACAAAAATCTTTACGTATTTATTACTTTACTTTTAAAAAAGAATTGGAGATTTGGATTGGCCGGGTAGAGTGCCCCGTTTATACCTTTGATACGCCATAATGTACATGACTTGTATACGCGTATCTCATCCACGGAAGCAGAATAAATTCGACGTGTCATGGATACATCACCAAAAGAAACGTGAGTGAAAAACAGTTCGAAATAAAGTAAACATTTAAAAAAATGTGCAGATGAATTGTAAATAATAAAGGTAACCCTGTGTGTATATTAAAAAGTGTTCGATGCACCGTAAATTATAAAACATTCAACTATACTTTCATTTTTACCAAATATGGAAATTAATGCAATTGAAAAAGTACTGTAGTATGTCAATTACATTCAACTTAATTATACGGTGGCCTAGCAGACAGGATAATAAAGTGGGATTGATGGATTGAGTCTATGCAAATGTAATCATTAATTTGCAGTAGAAGCTCAACTAGTAGTTTAAATATTAACAAACGACAGAAGCTGGATTATTAATGGTAGAATAGATACATGTAGATGGATTGATCGATGGGCGGATAGATTAATTGTGAATTCGATGTGCATGTACATCAGTAGCCAGGGATGCTATGTAGATTATGGATGGATGGATGGATGAATAGATGGGATCATTGGTATAGATGGATGTGAAGGGAGAATAGCGAAGAAGGAATGTATTAAATGGACAGAAGGAAGGATACGGACAATTTTAACACACTAACTGACTAATCTTTCATCGAGCAGTTGATCAATTTACGTTGACTTGCTTTAAAACATCTGCAATGAAGAAATGCTTACGAAATGAAAATGATTAAACCAGCTTTCAGTCCCATAGAAATCTCAGACTTTCATTTATGTAAACTTTCTAATAGTCATTCGAGATAATAACCCGAGGCGAAAGAATCGTTTATACACTGCAGCCGATTTTTGTTTCTATTTTTCACCGATCAGCGCAGATCTGCTGTAATCCAAACCGTTATCCTACGTACAGTGGGATCCCATTGCATGCGACTGGCAATAGAAACGCCTCTCTAATAAAAGCTTCAAATATATGAGACAATACATTAAAATACAATTTTTCCTCTCATCTTGTGGAGGCCCGTGATTGTTCTTGTTTTTGAAGGATTTTAAGAGATCTTTTTAAAGAACTTCGTAGGTTTAGGGGGTAAAAACAAGCCCTGTTTATTTCAAAATTAGCAATCGTTTTAGGGCCGGTAGTTAAAGTAAACTTATAAGGCAAAAATTCATGTCAAGGGGTAAACAAAATAGGCATACTTACGTAGGGAGATGTTGAATAGTCGCAAAGGCAAAAGAAGTTCTGGAATAAAGAAACATATTATAATCATAATCTGAAGTGTCTTCGTTATGTACAAACCCCAATGGTTCAATTCCCTCCCCACTAAGCATGCATGGGATGATTACAAACATGCCATTTTAGTGACATATTGGGTTATACATATTCTTTATACAGTATATATATTATAATATATATATGAATAATGGAACTTTTTAAAGTTATCATGTAATTCCAATAAAAAATATAAATACAAAATACGAGTTTCAGGAATTCATGGTAATATCCAACTTTTAGTATATTATTTGTTCATGGTAATATCCAACTTTTAGTATATTCTTTGATATTTGTGATAGTAACGTACCTCTACATATTTCGTAAGCCACGCCCCACGGTACCATGGCAACCACGTCGAATCGAAACCTGACATGCTGGCGATAATTTGCGCTTAGTTTTGATGGGTCTTTAACCTAATGAAGAAGAGAGAGAGAGAGAGAGAGAAAGAGAGAGAGAGAGAGAGAGAGAGAGAGAAAAAGAGAGAGAGAGAGAGAGAGAAAGGGAGAAATTCCCGACATAATACCAACGATGATAATTACATAAATTGATAAATTAGTGATGAAAAATTTCTAACGTCTGCAAATATCATGGCCCAAAACGAACTGAAACTGAAATGTAAGCACGCTTTTAGCAAGAAGATTATCCGTCAACAGTTTGAATATGTTATTACTAAATATGTTTCAATACTGATGGTTTTAGTTTTAGTTTTTTTTTTTTTTTTTTTGTCTACATTTTTTTTTTTTTGTATTTTAGAAGAAACAACCGTCAATATTAGTGAAATGACCGAAAATATAACTCCTCCCCATTAATATATGTCATAAAATATTAGCACTCACCAGGAGACCGTGTTGAAGGAAGGCGATCCGGAAGTTTACCAAGAAGTCGACGACAAAGATGGTGTCACAAACAAGATCTACCACTCCAAAATATTTAGCATTTGGCTGCCAAAAAATAAAAGAGAATCAAAAAAGATAATGAATGTACACTCTCAGTAATACTTATTGAAACGGTAATTATGGCAATGCAACTCTATGTGTCAAATTTGTGCAAGTATAATAATTTCTTTTTCTTCATATGGGGTATCTCAGGTAACACTGAGAAGGCGCTTCCGAATGTTATAACCCTTTCATGTTCTTCTTTTTCCTTTATTTGCTTCTCACATAATTTTGAAATAAAAAGTACCTAAATATGTGATGGCCTTTGTTCTATTAATTGATTTTACACTAGTCTTTTTATCATTCATTAATATTTGCCCATTATTTGTATGTTTTTATTCATGTATAATTATTTTTCTTTTCTTTTTCTTTATAATTTCCCTTTTTTTGGTGGTCCTTTTATGCTTATCAGATATTTTTCGGACATCCACCCTAATCGGAGCTCTTTCATTGTAAAATGCTGAATCTGTTCGTCCCTTTTGCTTCCATGAAACAAATATACGCCTCATTTCAGGGTAGGAGATAGATTTAATACACAATATTGGTTTCAGTAGTTTACGAATCACCCTTATATTTGTACCACTTTATTAACAGAACCGTCGTGCAGTAATATTCCAGCATGAGCACTCAACATAAACACATTTAGAAAATGCTGTGTACACGTACTTTTTGTATAGGTCGGGTTTTATCAGAATATTGAAGCGTCTCCTGTCAGCACATTGAAGTACCATGTACTTTCCTAATTAATGAGGACAATCAGACCATCACTAACAGACCGTGTGTCATTATCAGACTACATCAGACTACATCAGAATACAATCAGACCATCACTAACAGACCGTGTATCATTATCAGACTACATCAGAGTGATCAGACTACATCAGAATACAATCAGACCATCACTAACAGACCGTGTGTCATTATCAGACTACATCAGAAGCTCTCATTAATCCCGTTAAAATAGCTTGCATCAATTGTTCCAGGGTTGATGATAACACACATATCGCTTCATTGACATTCTATAGTAATTTATTATCGTTGACCCACTGGTATTATACATTCAGTGAAATGTGTGTTTCCAGAGAGAATATCGGTACCGCTTCTCATTCCACCTCTTCTCATTAGATATGAATGATTTTATTAAAAAAGATACAACTCACAAAGGGAATGAAATTTTTTTAAATAATAGGTATATACACAATAGTGGAAAAACATACTTCAATGAAAATCTTTTCTTAAAAAATACTTATAGATTGTACCATATTATAGATGGAAAAGGAACATTAAAGTCGGAAACTTATTTCAGATGTATGGGACTAGAGGAAGAGGAAATATCAATGCTTAAAGAAATCTATGGTAATATACCAAAGGAATGGAAAATCGAATTAACAAAGAGGCAAATTTCATTTCATGATCTAAAAATAGAATTTATGTTCACAAAAAAAACATTCCAATTTGAATCGGTTTGTTCGAAAAATCTGTACAGGGCATGCATACAAAAAATGCAAGACGTCCCTGTCAGTTTTCAGAATTTACATTCATCATACAATCTGTCGGTTAAAGAAATTGAAAAGGTTTTTGTCCGACCAAGAATTAGTACTTTAGATAATAAACTAAGAGAATTTCAATTCAAATTGCTTTATAAAATTGTTTATGTCAATCGTTATTTATACAGGTTTCAATTCATATTAAGTGATAAATGCTCATTTTGTGGAAAAGAAGAGGAAACATATAGGCACATATTTTTTGAATGCGAAATGGTGAGAAAATTATGGGATCAATGTAGTGATAGTTTGGATATTCCAATCCTTAAAGATATGAGCTGGAAGGAAGTTCACATTGGATTAGACGAAATAACCGAAGATAGGCAAATGATTAATCACGTGGTTTTATTAATTAAATATTTGATATTTATTAGTAGGGAAAAAAAGAAGCCTCCAAGTATTGAAGAAATAAGAGAGAAAATATTCAAAAGTAAACGGGAAGAAAGAAAGAGTGCTACTGAACGAAATACGTTGACGCTCCACTATAAAAAATGGGAACATCTCAAGGTAAACATGGATAATATGCAAGAAAATGCAAGGGGTGAGGAAAGGGGGGGGGGGGTCTGCCCGGTTCACAGCTGTGTGTGATTGACCGGTCTTGACTGCCATAGACTGCCCGTCTTCTTGTATCGTTTTTTGTTTTTTGTTTTTTGTTTTGTTTTGTTTGTTTTTGTTTTTGTTTTTTTTGTTTTTTTGTTTTTGTTTTGTGTTTGTTGTTGTTGGTTTTGTTTTTAACGGGGGTAGGGGATTTAACAAACTTTATTCATTCGATATAACTAAGTTGATTGTAGTCTGTACTTTGTTCCAATATGTTATAAATTATAATATGTAATAGGGATACTAGTAACACAGAACAAAATATAGAGGGGGGGGGGGGGGTTATAACAATATTAATTCATTCAATATAATTGAGATTACTGTATTTTGTACTCTGTAATTGGTTTCAATATGTTATATATTACAATTTGTATGAATTAATATTATTTATTGAGTGAATACAATAAAGAATATTACAAAACAAAAAAAACCTCCTTCTTTTTAGATCACACTATTGTTTCGAATCTCATGTTACATGTATAGGCGCAGGCGCGTACGCAGGGGGGGGGGGGGGTTAAACCCCCTTAAGTTTTTTTTTTATGTATATGTTTTGTGTATGGTTTTTTGTGAACCCCCCCCCCCCTTTGATTTTTTTAAAATAAAAACAATAAAAAATTATACCAATGGCTGACCTAAAAAAAGGTGACCTTACCCCCCTCCCCCAACGGAACCCCCCCCCCCCCAAAAGTGTCCTCTTACCTCCCCCCCCCCCCCACTGAGCGACTTTTCGGCTGGCTGAGTCGTTGCGAATTTTTTTTTACTCAAAAAAAAAAAAAAAAAAAAAGTGTCCGCTTACCCCCCCCCCCCCCCCCCACCCCCACTGAGCGACTTTTCGGCCGGCGCGATTTTCACATTTTCGGGAGCAAATTTTTCGGGCCCGATTTTAACCCCCCCCCCCCTTGAAAAAATCCTGCGTACGCCACTGTATAGGCGTATGGTGGATGGGTGGGTGGTTGGGTGGGTGGGTGGGGGGATAAAGCAGCCCCGATACGAAATGTTTTTATTTGGTAAAACTTGAATACAATTATTAAGACAATGATTATATCCTACAAGACGGAAGACCCAAGAGACTGCCTTCTTTAATAAGCTAGAGCTTGAACGGCTCAGTGGATAGAGCGCCCGCTTCATGAACGGGAGGTCGTGGGTTCGAACCCCGGCCGAGTCATACCAAAGACTTATAACAATGGGACCTTCTGCCTTCTAGCTAGGCGCTCAGCATATTAGATTGGAGAAGGGTAGTAATAACATATTATGTTATGCAGGGCCCGCTGGAAGAACAGTTTCATAACTGAAGTGGCTACCCTGGGTAAATAAAACGTTATTATTATTATTATTATTATTATTATTATTATTATTATAATTGCTGCCTTAAAATAGTGATTTAACATAGAAAGAACAAATTATACGTGTTTCAGATTGAGCAAAGTTAGCAAGAAAGCTAACTATGACAGGAAAGCTTGCCATGATAACTAATAAGTTTTAACAATTTGTCAGTTTGAGTGGTTTATAGTCATTGGATATTCTATATTGTTTATCATATTGTATGAATCAATTTACGATGGATTAAATTCTTGTCAATGGTTCAAATGTTTTAAGTCGGTCTATACTGATTCGAAGATGAGCGGGGGAGGTGGGAGGGGGATTCCAATTAGCATCTAAATAAATTTACATTTTGTTTTCAGCCTCAAGTTTTATACTGCATCATTCTGTCCAAACAAGTATGAGCTAGTTGAATTCCAGGTAAGAGTTTTTAATGAACAAAAATGTAATTACAATATTCATACAGGTATAACATAAATATTTTCATAATGTACGACTGAATGATTGGGGGCCTAACCCAAGTTGGCGGTACGCAACAACCCAAAACGTAGCTCTTCAAACCTTCGACTCAAAAGACACCTGCAAATGAAATGGGGTGTGGAATGTTAATTCTCGTTATTGTTGTTGCTGTTTACTTCTCAGATATCTATTTTTCATCAGTATCGTGCCTCGACCCATTTCTAACCTCCTCTACACGCCTTGTATAATATAAATCAAATACTATGATCTAAGCTACATGAATACATAAACGGTCGCGTGTCAGGTTTATACATTAACATGAGAAACGTGTCTAAAACAAAATTCCTACTCTTGTTCTTCGTGCCTTTAGTTTAGATCTCCATCACTACTCCCCGATATTCAAATACCAGGCTCTGTAATTTGTATGATCAGGAAGTGAGGGGCTCCGAGTGAAGTGCACTAGCTATTTACAGTGAAACTGGATACTAACTCTACAGAAGGTCAACATCGCCAGATGACAGGTTTTTCCTTCTTTTTCTTCTCCTTCTCCTTCTTCTTCTTCTTCTACGTTTTTATATATAGAAACTGTACTACCCTTTTGTGTACCGTTTCTGCATCTTCACCTGCTGTCACAACACATCCCATACCAGTAGCTTGAAAAAGCTGCTTCAGGGATTTCCTCATCAAGTATCAAGTATCTTCTTCTTCTTCTTTTTTTCTTCTTCTTCTTCTTCTTCTTCTTCTTCTTCTTCTTCTTCTTCTTCTTCTTCTTCTTCTTCTTCTTCTTCTTTTTTCCCTCTTCTTATTCTGACATTGAAATGGCGTCTTGCTTTTCAAGCATGTCCTTGCGGCAAACCGTGGTATTTTAGCATCTTCGCCCATCATGAATAATGTGCTTATCAGAATATCTTTACCAATGCCTTGATTCATAGCTATCTCTCATTTTAAACAGCATTACGTGCATAATTATTCATAATGATGTGTTTTGATGTGTTTTTTTTCTTCAATATGTTTTATCTTACTTTGGCTATATACATGTAAGCAACAAGGGAATCTACAGCTTCAAATCCTCCCCAAGGAACGTGTTGATTTTAGATTAATAGATCAGTACAAAGGACACTAGTACTTAAACTTGTTTTCGAACTTTGGACATCCACTGCTTCACCACTGAGCTACCATACATTATAATTCAAGTTCTTATATTTATGCTCAACTTTGTTTTGCAAATTTCATAAATAACTTTAGGTTTTAATGGCTTCTTTAATGGCTTCATCACCTCCACGAGTACAAAAATATCTCATTAATCTTTCTCTTAGAGTGGTATATTTAATTTTAAACGACCTTGCTAAATCACGAAAAAGTCAATCAAAGACATTTCCGTTCGTGCACCCTTCCCACGTTTAGATGACCTCCATATCTCGAGCTTATATGAGAGCGATATTACTATCATAACTCAACTGAGTATTTTTAATAGAAATTATGATTTAGTTTGTAACATCTTCTCAGAAGCTTTACCACAAATAAAGTAATTTGAAACTAATAACCTCAATGAATTTCCTCTGATTTACAAATGACTGGAGTCAATCAAAGAAATTTCCGTTCGTGCACCTTTCCCGCATCTGGAAGGCCTCCATAATATTGGGCTCATGGAAGTCACGTGAGGGCAATAGTACTGTCATAATTGAATTGAGTGATTTGCTAACCTGATTGGTGAGATGATGATGAAACGCCACCCGTAGGACGATCATCCACACATTATACGCCACTGCACAGGCTACCAGGCCCTGTAAATGAAAGAGGAGGCGAAGAAGGGGCAGAAATTTCCGATTTCAAATAAAATACATCCTCGTCTACTCATTTTGTTGTCGTTGACATTTAGCCAATATAATGATAATCAACCAGTAAAATGAAGGTAATCTAAGAATATCTACGTCGTCTGTTGAGAAGTAGAAGGACATTAGGTCTGTGTATACGTATACAAATATACTAACGTCTTTCTGATTCTCAACAGAATGATATAGAATATGAGATTCTGGAAATGGTAATAATTGTATCACATGGACAAAGCGAACAATAACAAATATGATACAAAAGTTGTTACTATTGAGCATCAGAATATGAATAAAAACATTAACTTCTGGAACGTATTTTAATCGAAAATATTTCAAGGATAACGAAAACAGACATAGAAATGAGAAAATTATTAAACACTAATGGCCAGGATATTGATTATCGACATCGGACAGTGAAATACACATTTTCGAAGAAGAAAATGAAAAGGTAAATATGAGGTTGAACACTGTTGGTAAGGAGAAATTATTCAAGTACTTTGTTCGGAGGAAAACAGGACATGTTCCTTAGTCTGGAGTGGGTGTATCTGATTGCATCTTATAGTTGGAGCATGATACTGCGTATTAAGTTTGCTTGAGAGAGAGAGAGAGAGATAGCGAAAGTGTGTAGGGGAAAAGGGAGAGGGGAGAGAGGGAGAGGGAGAGAAAGAAAGAAAGAGGGAGGGAGAGAGAGAGAGAGATAGAGAGAAAGAGGGAGAGAGAGAGAGAGTGTGTGTGTGTGTGTGTGTGTGGGTGTGGGTAGGAGAATGGGTTGGTGGGGAGAAATGGAGAGAGAAGGGAGAGAGAGGGGAGAGAGAAGGAGAGAGAAAGAGAAAACGAGAGAGAGAGAGAGAAAGAGAAGGAGGGGGGAGGGTAGAGAGAAAGAAAAAGATGACCCGTACTCACCATCCATCGATAGACGTACTCGCCCTCTGGGTCGATCACGAATTCATTACCCTCCAAAAAATCCTGAAAGAAATTAGAAGTCAGAAAATTCAACTATATTAAACAAGCTATCGCATCACAACGTATTATCAGTTTTAATTAACATGGCTAATTAATGCAGATTCGTGAAAATACAATATCATATCTCCTTGTTCGTTTCTCAAATGTGTTTGACGAGTCTGTCAAGTTTATTATCGCGTTTTTATGTTACTATAGTAACATCACTGTCGAAAGCAGTTTGAAAGTGTTATTGCATTGGTTATTAAATATAATGTACGGTTGCATTACCCGTTTTGGAAGATCGCTCGTCTTTAATTACTCTGATTCAACACGTATCTACATTTTTTTTCTATAATGAAGAGTAATCTTTTTTGACAGACTGATTTAAACATGTCTTTACCACAAACACTGTTTGTAGCCATTATGTATAATGAATGTATAGGGTATGGAGTTATAAAAACACTTTGATGATAATCAGGAATCGACAGCTATTATTTTCCCCAAGAAATATAACTCAAAACACAATTTCGTTTATCAGACGAACAACTAATAGTGCGTTTCCAAAGTACGTCCTAATATACGATATTACAGTATCAATATCAGATACTGAAAACAGCAATCGGGAAGAATTCCAACCAAGAGAAAAATAAAAAAAGACAATACAGTTGTGGAAGAAAAATCATAAAAGTGAAGAAAAAATACGAGGTAAATTTGAGAACTTCATCGATTTGTCAATCACGTTGAAAAGACGTATGTTTATGCTTAACAACGGAGTCATGTATTTAATACAAACACAACGATTCTAAATATATTGTTTCATTTTTCTTGTTTCTATATAAATATAGAATGAGTTCTTTCAAAATTGAATTACATTATGATACCATCCGATATAGCATCAAGTACAAAATACTCATGGAATGCATGTTTACAACCATTACTTCATAGTAGAATAGAGGGGATTATTTATTTATTTATTTGTAGTTTTATTTTGACAGGGTAGCCCTTTTAGTTATAAAAACTGCTCGACCAAGGGGCCCTGTATCAACATAATCAAAAACATATTTACAAAACATATAAACATACATAAGTTATAATGAACACAAAAATTAAACAAGAAAAAAATATTGAAATAAATGGGGGGGGGGGGGGTGAAATATTCATGTAAGTACTATTTTAAACTATGTGAGAGAAAGGAGTTTGCAGTGTTTTTTGAATGAATCCAGTGAGTTGATAAACGTTAAAAGGGGGTAATGCATTCCGTATAACGGAGCCTTGATGACAGAAAGATCTTTTGAAATACTTGGTTTTGGTGTTTTTCAATGAATAGAGGACAGGTAGTTGCATACCTGGTATAAACGTTTATCGGTCGATAGCACACAATATCCTTAATTTATTTCGGCATTTTATTATTTATCACCTTATACATTCATATTATAAATTGGTATTGCACTCTCTCAACAACTGATTGCCGTCTTAGTTATCTTAGGGATTTTTTTCTTTCTCTCGCCAATGATAGGAAATGACAAGAAAGAAATAAAAGCAATTCAAAATAGTTTGATTTTAAAAGAAAGTATTATAAATGCGATGCTAAATACATAGTCAAATTTTGTATTTGCGGAATACTTTGATGAGATAACTTCCCATTCTTAACGTGATTAACGTGGGTTTGCTGCGAAGCATATACACTGTACATACATAATCATACATAGATACAGAAATGTGTATAGGGGCGTGTCTAAATTCAAAAGAAAAAGTGAAAGAAATTGATTTATAGTACCTACTTCTTTATCAAATGCTTAATAAATCACGTCCAATAAATCGCATCTTACTTTTATGATATCAAGTGAGGAAAGGAACTGATAATAATTTTATACTGCTGACATAATTCAATATTTACCCGACACTTTAGTTTGTGTGTACATGTAGATTGCATCTCCTCCCCCTTTCTCTCTCTCTCTCTCTCTCTCTCTCTCTCTTTCCGATCTCTCTCTCTCTCTCTCTCTCTATCCATCTCTCTCTATCTCTCTCTTCCTCTCGCTTGTTTGTTTAAACACCAGCGCATGTATTCCCGTGTGACATTAATGTTATTTTCTAGCGCTTCCAGGCAACAATGAAAAGGAGCCAATCCCATCGCATACGTCTCCGTATGTCTGTGAGCCCGAGGAAGGAAAGACGGCTTAGTCTATTATTGATTTCAAATTCATCCAAACTTACTCTCCTTGAGAAGCTGAAAATTCGTTAATCTTGAAGCCAAGCTATACAGTGCGTCCCAAAAAAAAACTATACACTTTTGAAATGGCTGCTGAATAAAAAAAAAAATATGATTCTGGGGGAAAAGTTTTATATGTATGGAAAGCTCATAAACTCAACTCTCATACGACACCAAAAAGTCCGAAAATAATTCATGCTTGGGTGAGCACTGCTCACTTTCGTAAAGGGTATGAAAAATTAGGTTGCGCAGGAATTAGCCTTCCAATTTGTGAGAGGTAAATCCTTTGGAGCTTACGCAATTGAGGATAATATGACCAATTTATGATCAATTATTTTGATGAGTTTGGGTTTGCTGAGTGAAATTTGTGGCTTATGGGATTAACATTGATGAGTGAACAGGAATTGCATTTGTTATTACCGTATAGCAATGTCACTTTCCATGGTAGATTCAGTGGTGTTCATGGGGGTCAGGACGGGGTGATGGTACATGGTGCAGGGGAGGTGAAATGTAGGGTAGGACTTTATTGGGTAGATGGGATTAGGGTCTAGAGGACATGTATGCCCCTCCCCCTTCTTTCTCTCTCTCTCTCTCTCTCTGCCTGGGTGTGCTTGTGCATATCTTGACAAGTCATTAGACAATCAACATTCAGCTATCAATCACTTAATCAACAATGAACGATATCAGTCAATCGGTCAATCAATTAATCAATCAAGCATTCAATCACCATTCAGTATTTCAATCAATTTAATAATTCAATAAATCAATCATAATTAATCAATAAGTCAGTCAATCACTCAATCTATCAACCAACCAGTCATTTTAGCACTTGAGTTTCTGTAAATGGTGAATGGGTAACCTGAAGAATAAGTAGCCAACATCTGTGACATTTCTTTTTTCAACAAACCGTATTTGAATAATCAATTTACATAATCCCCATCTGGTTATTAAGTAAATCAATGAGATGTTCAACTAATCTTACAATAACTGAAATGTGGGGTGAAGGTTTTTATTCAAAGTCACAGATGTAAAAAAATAACAGTTTGCAACATGGAAATTACAACATGTACCGTCACCCCATCCTGACTCCCATGAACACACCACTGAGTCTACATATGGCTCCGTTTAGTCTCATTTCACAACGCCCCCTATCGTCAGAGCATGGTCAGATTCAGCAGGCTAACATGTTAGCCTATGGACGTTTTTTAAAAAATCGTTAAAAATTCATTTTGTGTTTAAACGAAAAGCACATCCACCCCGACGTACGTTATCACTAGCTCTTTCATTGGAGCCCTCATGTCTCATTGACTTTTGAAAGTTCACCCACCGTAATTTTTCAAAATAGGTTGCAAGCTCGTCATTGCCTATAATACACATGTGAAACAAGTCTAACTTTGGACTCAGTTTACCAAGCGATTTGAAGATTATAGGTCGAGCACACGAAACATAAAAAGCATGAATTATCATAGATCACTTCTGCCTATTTCGTTTTGTCCATTTCATCCAACCCCCCACCGTAATTTTTCCATTTAGTAAAAGCAAACATTTTGCCGAGTCTAGCAAAAACATGAATATTCATGAACGGTCAGACAATACAGCCTTTTAGTACGTAACGTATAGTGAATGGGAATGTGCGATGATCCGTGTAGGAGGTAGAGGTCAGTGGTTTGTGCTGGCAATGTTCACGCGAGCGAAAATGAGACAATCAGAGCAATATGCCAGGGAAAGTTACAATGCTACAATAAAAAATGAAATTCCTGTTCACTCATGCACAAAAGTTTTGTTTAATAAACCATGAAATTCACTCAGCAGATCATGACTGTATCATATCACCCTCGATTTTGAAAGCTCCAAAGGATTTACCTCTCACAATTGGAAGGCAAATTCCTGCGCAACCTAATTTTCATACCTTTTACGAAAGTGAGCAGTGCTCACCCAAGCATGAATTATTTTTGGACTTTTTGGTGCCATATGAAAGTTGAGTTTATGAGCTTTCCATACATATAAAATCCCCCCCCCCCCCCCCAGAATCATATTTTTTTTTTATTCAGCAGCCATTTCTAAAGTGTATAGTTTTTTTGTGGGACGCACTGTATACTCGAATGTAGCACAATGCTATTTTTTATTTGTGTTTGTGGGAATTAGAGAGGGGTGATTTAGTACTTCTCCTTTACAAGCGCAATTGTCTAGATCCTATAGGTTTACCGCAATCTTCTTTGATTTCGGATGTACTGTATACTATACACTGTAGGTACATCTAGACAGGTACTGTTCGTACAGGCAAATCGTTTGATTCGGCGTCTGTCTGTTTTGTGCCATCAAAAATTTTACCTCATGAAAAAAAAGTTAATTCGGAGATTGACCTATATCAATAGACAGGCATTTATGTTTGTAGTAGGGGTGGGGGATTAAATTCACAGACGTCTGGAAATGGGGGTGGGGCAATCAACCATTCATCTAGGTAACATCCAAGGTCACCATCATAAACACCCTTTTCTTTAACTTTCACACCAACAATTTATTTGATGAGTTTTCTAATAACACGTGTCAACGTCAGACTCGGCTGCATGCCTTGAGCGAGATTTGGTCGTGATTAAAATGAAGAAGCAATCAATTTATTCCATCCTGCTCACATTGCTTGCAAGGGTTAAACTATATTTCACCAACATTTACACGAGTCTGGTGATGATAAAAACTAGCGATTAATAAAAAAATAATTGGGCTGAAAAGCTCTTTCTCTTGAAACACATCTACATAACCATCTCAATTACATACGCATAAACAATCTGACTAATCTTGCGAATTATTGTACCAAAAAAAAAGTTCATGAGGAAATCAATGAGTGATGTTGTTATACAGCTAGAGTTTATGTATATAATGTAATTTGGGTTTCATTTTTTGGCTGCACGATATATTTCTAGTATACATTAGCTCTATAAATAATCACATGATATTACAATACGTCCATGCATACTGGGAGATTGGAAAGCTGAATTCTGAAGGAAAATAGACGATTACTTGCAGTAAGAATAATGGCCAATTACTGTACTTAAACCGTGTTAAAACCTATAAAATTATGTTTTTCTGTGCTTTATTTTGTTTCCCCTTTCACATGTCACATAAACAGGGTACCGCGATACAAAATACTAGCGAATGCTTTTTCTTAGGTTTACATACTAAGAAAAAGCAATTGCTATTCTTATGTACTCTGCCATATGTTTCCATCATGAAGATAATTATAATTAACGATGCATGAATGTACACTTTGATCATTATGTTATATTCAAACTGTTCAATGAACCAACCGACCATGACCCTGATACCATTGTCATCACCTATAACGATTTGTTATGATTATTAAGCGCCATGCACAGTGGAAACCAATGGAAATTTCAAAGACAGCCTATCAATACATTCAAAAATATCAGAGATTCGGCGTTCAATCACTCTAATAGCTCCTGCCTCTGAATCCCAAATCATACCCAACCAATTCAACTTGGTTGTGGGGGTCCAAACAGACTTCTCAATATTAGGCACAAATCCTGCGGCTAACAAATCATCTTTGACACTACTTAATACTAACTTGCATGAACGCAAAGAATCACATCTACACCAACCGTCATCAAGGAAAACAATAATAAAATACCCTTTCTTCCTCCAATGTCTGGCAAGAGGTCGGATACATTTAGTGAATATATACGGAGCTATCGATAAACCAAACGGCAAAACCTGGAAAGAAAAGTATTTAACTACCTTTCTGATCTCCCAACTAAAGCTTAGATATTTGCAATGTTCCTTAAAAATATCAAAATGATGGTATCCAGACTTAAGGTCAAAACTGAACATAAAGTCACCTTGTTGAAAAAATTCAAGAGCAATATTCCAATCCTCAAACTGACATGGGGAGCTATATGGCATAGCAATGTCTTGCCGTCGAAGCTTGGTGCTCCCCAGGAAACTGGTATATTATGTATTATTAACATGTGTATTGTTTTACAGATTAAGCTATATAGGATAGGGAGGCGAAATTGAAAATAATTTATTCACGTTTGAGTTGCGAATTAGGGAATAATTGTTATGATTATTAAGCGCCATGCACAGTGGCATAGCTACGGGGGCGTAGGGTACTTTCCACCTCATATGCCCCCTCTCCTCGAAAAACTGAAATAGAGCAGAAGAAGAAAAAGGAAATAGAAAGTTAAAGAGACTGATACCACCTTAACATCTACACTACCCTCATTCGATGGGCTTTTTTAATTCGCATTTAATTCATCGCCTCCACCCCCTTCCTCCTCCCGGCCCCTATAATAGTTTCCAATTGGCTGAACCCACGCTATGCCAATGTTCATGCACAAATATACAGTACCAATCCCTCATTCATGCAATAAGGGCTTGTTTAGGTATGGCACCGCAAGAAAGCCGCCGCGGTTTTTCTTTTCTAGTGTATAGATGTGGTAATGAATGGTAACTGCGCGCAGCAAAAGGCTCGCGCGCATTTATTGGGATCTGTTTTTAGATACATACAAATGTGAAGTAATTACATTTTACGTCAACATAAAAACCGCTGCTGTTTTACCGCATCATATCTGAACGAACCCTTGGGTGTCATTTTAACCTTCCCCCGTCGATCTACCATAACACAGACATCATTTCATGAGTCGCGGGGTTTTCCACCAAGCGTGTACCCCCTTGGGGATGGTTTGGGTTTACACATCACCTCACACCAAATGAATTGATATTATCACCAGCAGTGATAGGAATCAATGATTTCGCACTTTCTGCGGCACGGATATGTCAATGATATATTGTTTTCAATCGGGACATATATACTATCTCGGTTTATTACAGTGTGGTTGTGAACGTGGTATATTCATCGGTCGATGTTGATCGCAGTTGATACAATGAGATTTTACCTGATTATTCATCATGGGTATAGCATAATATGATATGATGGATACATAAGACATGACTGAAGAGAATTTGTCTGCGCATCATCGTGGTAGTAAATGTGATTATGTGCTTATTCGCTCCAGGAGTGTTGAAGCATCATAATGTACTATTAATAATGATAATAATATTTTACTTTTGTCTAGCGCTTGATACATCAACGGTGTCTCTAAGCGCTTTACAGATGTACCTCGGTCATCAGGTTCAGGCTTGCCCGCAATAAATGTATACACATTCTCCACTCCCTGAGGAACATTCGAGCCTGGCGTCGTTTTATACCTGGGTGTAGAGTGGTAAATGTAGATTAACGTATATTGCCAAAGAACGTTAGCGTTGAAAATTTGAATTCCGTCCTTTGTGATCTGCAGTCGGGTGACCACAACACCTCTACACCTATTCACGGTTATATTAAAACTATCACGAAGAAAAGAGACTTGTGTAAGAGCACATAGAGAAAGTCCAAACAACCAAATTTGGCTTCGTGAAGAAACTTGCTAAGCCAAAATATTCAATTTTTATATGATGCGATATACCTCATGTACATCACGATACTCATAATGGAGTGTTAAGCTAAGACAATACAAATGTCTTTTTATTTTATGGCTTTCATGAAACCAAAACGGCCATAAAAGGTGATCAGTACCATATCTTTCAAACTGTTCCGTTAATCAAAATTCATCAATTTAAACAATTTGGAAAACATATCTTTCGTCATCAAAAGTGATACTTCTAAGAATTGACATGATAGAACTTGTAAGGTTATCATCATCCATATCTAACTTTAATTAACGAAATGCAGTGATGATGAGGAAATAATGAAACCCTGATGAAAAGGAATTATAGACCATTAATGAAATCACTGTGACTTCACTTGATATTGAGATGTCAGGATGATAGCTATTAGCGCCGGATTGAACATTTGCAATTCACCACGATATCCGTATATAGATGCCACAGGTGACCTGTGACGCCAGCGGTTTTACCCGTATCGTATAAATTTCATCGACAATTCGCAATATGATCATTCCTCCTAAACCACCGAATATTATGCTTACATGCATTCCAGCACGTGCATATAAATGGGCCTCGTGAATTTAAAGGCCCAGTCGCGCGCCTGGTCGTGTGACTGTACACCGTGATAAAATGAAAACTTAACAATGGTGCGGCTAAAACGAAATGTCAAATGAAAGAATGAATAAAATAGATAGAATATGTCAAAGGAAACTTGACGGTAATTATGACTAAACGATATGATTAGATGCAGAATATATTTATGGAGCTACATGATTGTATGTAGGAACATTATTTTTTATAAGGGAATTTTATTATTCCTCTCGTTTAAGATTTAAATGCACAACTAGAAATTATATCATTTTTTTTACTTAAAATGGCAAACGAAAAAAGCGCATTAGATCGTAGGGCTTATCTTTAATTAAAAGTATAACCCAATTAGGCCTTTAACATAAAATGATCAATGACCTGCAGAATATATTATTGTTATCCTGTGAATGCGAACATTCTATTTGACACCCATTATATAGATTGATTCCTCGACCTTCAAATTCTTACAATTATCCGTACAGCTTCAGGGAACGGAATATTCATCCCTACTCAAAGCTTTCCCCCTTCTTTAGGCAGTTTAGCATCGCAATAGTTTATTATTGAAAAAATCCTCACGGCTGACAGCAGGCATTTATCAAAATGAGAAAAACAGACTATGTTAAATCTACTTACCTGCAGTATTCCAGGCATCCATCGCCGGTGGACGTCCGTCTGAGGATTTAATTAGAAACAAATATATCATTTCAACAGTTTTACATCTCATTTAGATCGTAAGCTAGCAAATACAGTGGCATATATAGCAACACAAGGAAGAGATAGAGAAAGAGGGGGAGTATAATTAAAGTTCCAAGACAATTATTATCGCACAAGTAAACACGTTCTTCAATTTTTGTATTTACAGAATAATACCATATGGGAGTTGAATATAGGGGAAAACAATCACGTCAACAATTTTACATCTTATTTAGATATTAAGCTAGCACATACACTGTCGCTCATATAGGTAGAATATTTTTGTTTTTACCCCAATTTATGGAATTATTTAAAAAATAATTTAAAAATAATAGATCTAGATAATAGTATACATACTCAGATTTTATTGAATAATAATTTGCCAATGTGTGTTTGCATGACTGCTAAAGCATGTGTATGTTACTATGCTTATCAACTAGGGGACCTACGCCATTAAGTCATAAATGACTGTAATGAGGATTAATGCCCCACAAAAGGGCACTAATATAGCACATCGACACGGTTTTGATCCTGGGGCCTCACAGTTACGAGGCCATTGCTTTGTCACTGAACCAGGACTGTACGCAGCGGGGGCTAGGGTAGGAGGCAGTTTCCATAAATTAAAAAAACACAAAGAAAATGCAATAAATGTTCAATAATTTATTGCATTTTACCCCGTTCCCCAACAAAAAAATTGCCTCTAGACGGCCATGCATTACGGCTCAAGGCATGATTGCTCGCTGGGGGGGGGGGGGGGGGGGGGGGGGTTGAACGAAGACAACGGGGACGAGGTTTTATTGAATAATAATTTGCCAATGTGTGTTTGCGTGACTGCTAAAGTGAGGGGGGGGGGGTTGAACGAGGGGTTGAACGAAGACAACGGGGACGAGGGGGCCCGAGAGCGAAGATTACGCATTCTGTATCTCTTATATATTTTTAATTGCGGTGTGTGTCTCTAGTTTAATTTTAGACTGTTTGAAAATGAAAAAATCAGTTCACTTCCCGAAACGCACTTTCGGATTTAATCCTCGGTGAGAAGGAAAAAAAAGGTGATGAACGACAAAGGAAGGGGTATTCCTTAGTTGTAAATAAATATTAAAAAAATATTAGAAAACTTAAAGGAGGGCTAACATAACTAAGTATGTTGTGATACTTTTACATTACAAGGCAGTACCAATTAGAATTATGTTCACCAGCTCATTCGTTACTATAAATGTCGTTATACTATGTATTTTATTCCGTCATTATCCATGAGAGTGCGAGGGGCGTCATTCCCCCTCCCCCCACGAGAGTTCCTGGAATTGGCTGATATGTTTTACGTCATTGGCAGCTTGAAAAAGGTCACAAACAATTACACTTTGATTACACATTGCTTTTTTGACTTTCCTCATTTTTGTAAATCATCTGTTACAACATTGCATTCAGCTACATGTATGAAGAGCCACGGTCAAGGATTAATGGCACACTTCCTGTCACATACAAAGGAAGCTTACTCTGAATGTAGCCTGCCATTTGACCCTCGCCGGGGACAAAGGGCGTTGCCCTAGCTACCGATAGTGTTGTAGATCCTTACATAAAACTTATTGTTCAGGGGGTCTTATGTTCAAGGGAATAAAAGTAACAAGGGGCAAATGTAACAGCGGCTCCCACCCCTATAGTAGAAATGCGCTATGCATATACGCCCTGCACAGCTTCCAACATACAACAATATACAAGAATAACAGGTCAAAATTAAGTCAGCTTGAACAGGATAACCCTCGAGAGCCAAGTTATTTCCAGTGGGGTCCCCTACAGACATGTAAATAATAAATAAGTTGAAATAGTAATATTTACAGACCGATAAGAAAAATAAAAATAAAATTATTAAAGATAATAATGATGATAATGATAATAACAACATTGAACTGATGATAGAAATGATTATAAGTACAAGAAGAAAATAAGAAGGAGAAGAATAAAAAGAGGAGAAGCTAGGAGGAAGAGGAAAATAATGATGAATAATGTAGAACTTTATATTACGTAAAAAAACATAATATACAAAATGAAAAGGTATCCGCAGAAGAATAAAAATTTCAATCATATAACATGTCATTCGCTTCGATCTTCTTCGACTCTCAAGTATTAAATATTCTTTTAATTTCCTCTTAAAATAAGCAAAGTTGTCTATTTCTTTATAATTATCATTAGGAAGGGAATTCCAAATGTTGTATGCCACCGGAATAAAACGAACTACAAATACTACCTACTCTTTCTGGCAAGTTAAAGTTGAATCGGCTATTTCTTGTATTATAATCATGTGAGTCAGTAACAAGATCGAAGTTGGAAGGAATATAATGATTCGACCTACTATGATATATTTTATGCACGTGATGCAATACGAGTTCAAGACAACGGGTTTTTAGCACGGGAGTAAAATCTTCAATTACCTAAAATAAAAAATAAAATAAAAATCTGGACAAATATGTGCTTGTGCTATCACTGTCATTTTTATATGGTCAACAAAATGAGATTTTAGGCCCTGTATAAGGCGAAGTTTCAAGGACGAAATTTAATGCAAGGATGCAAAAAATGAAAAGTATGGCCGCCCTCCTAGGGAGCTAATGTAAAAACGTTATAATTTTCCCCACGTAACTGGAAAAAATATAATTTAGATGAGTCAAGCAATATGTCATAGACATAATTGTTATTACCTTTGTTTGTATTGGGGTTCTTTAAATTAGTGTTTAATTGATGGAAATCTATCCAGCGCATAATCTTTGGGGAAAAAAAAAAATCTGTTTTGCTGATGGATATATGATTTGTAGGTACAACTGTATTCGGTTAGAATTGCCCCATGGGTGTGTTACAATTGCCTCGTGTTGTGGGGCAATTGTAACACTTGCCTACCGGTATTGAAATGATAATGGCTTGATAATAACTTGTTTCACTTAACTCAAACCTAGTCATATTTCAAGCCAAGAAATGCATCTTTCATTTCATATACCTTTAAGCAAGTAGCCTATAATTATAACTGTAATAAAGTTGAAATGTCAGAATTTTATTTCAGAATTGGAAAAAGGTGTTACAATAATATTGTCCCCGGTCTCCCCTAAGGATCTAAGCCACTGGCTACACGACAGGGGCGGATCCAGCCGGTGGTGAGGGAGAGGGCCCAATTTATGAAAAAATATTCAGCGGCGCATAAGTGTGTGGGGGGTGGGGGTATCGAGCACTATTTTTGTTTTACTCAACAACCTCCCCCCCCCCCCCCCCCCTTGAGCAAAAAATAAAAAGGTAAAATTGTGGTAATCTTTTTTGAGACTTTTTTCTCCCAGGGGTGGGGGCCCGTCTTTTTTCCCTTTTTTTTTTAGATGTAAAATTGACGGTGCAAGCCGACAATGAATAGAATAAGTGAGTGGTCAACTGTTTTTGTGTTACAGCGGTACAGTGCACCCCCCCTATTTTAAAGTACCCCCAAAAGTGCTTCTTTTTACATAGAAAAAGTGCCCTTTCAACCTTGTAAGAAGTGCCCCTTTGTAGATAGAAAAAAAAAACCCTTTTACTTTGACGAGTGCCCCTATTAATTTGTAAAATTGCCCCTTCCCCTTTTATGTCAAGATCATTATTATTTTGGCTTTCCATTTTTTGGCTTTCCTCCTTTTCGTAAATTACATTTAACAACATTGCATTCAGCTACATGTATGAAGAACTACGGTCAAGACTTAATAGCACACTTCCTTTCACATACAAAAGAAGCTTACCGTACTCCAGGCGCGGATCCAGGGGGAGGCCGAGGCGGGCCTTGGCCTCCCCCCCCCCCCCCCCGCAAAAAAAAAAGGAGAGAGAGAGAAGGAAAAGAAGGGAAAGAGAAAGAGGAGAGAAAGGAAAAAAAGAAGAGGAAGAAGAAAAGAAAAGAGGGAAGAAGGAGATCGGGGGGGGGGCAAAAGGACTTGCCTCCCAGGCTGTTGCCTCCCCCCCCCCCCCCCCCAATCAAAAAATAAAAGAGAAGGAAGGAAAGGGAAAGAAAAAAGAAAAGAGGAGATAAAGGGAAGGACAAAAGAGGAAGAAGAAAAGAAGGGGATATCAGTTGCAATTTTCCCGCCAACAAGGCCCTAGCCTCCCCCCCCCCCCCCCCCCCCCCGTCCCCGCTAAAAAAAAAGAGAGAAGAAGGAAAAGGAAAAGAGGAGAGCTAAAAGGGAACAAAAAACATGAAGAAAGAAAGAAAAGGGAGAAAAGAAGCGATATCAGTTGCGGCTAAAACCGCCAACAATGTGTGGAGCGGGATGGGGACCAAAATGACCTTGCCCCACCCTCCCCCCCCCCCCCCCAGCAAACCTAAAAGAGAGATAAGGAAGGGAAGGGAAAGGGAAAAAGCATGCTACTTGACGACGGTGAGCAACGCAAAGAGTAACGCAAAGAAACCTTTTAAATTTCACTTTTTACCGCTATATTCGAGATTTCATTGTGCTATACCTACCTGTGCTGGTGATATTTGTTACATTGGGCACCATTATTGGAGCTGTGGACTTCTTAGGAACACGAATTTTTGAAAAATGTTGAGTAAAAAGGACAGGAAGAAGGGAAGAAATAGAGAGTGTATACAGACACGGAGTCGAGCTGAAGATCTAGCCGAACTCTCAGGCGACGAAACCCACGATAGAGACGGTCAAGTCGACGCCAGTCCAGATGGTCAGTCTGCTGGTCACTCAGCTGGTCACTCACCCGTGAAAGAACAATGCGTGAGTAGTGAACTAAAAGACGTGATATGTAAGGAAATCACAAAGGTACTATTGTCAGGCCCTGTGATTGATCAGATCGTTGACTCTGTATATGAAACTGTGTGTAAGAGACTCGAAGAAAAAATCTCACAAAATGTGCATGATGGACTGCTACTTGAACTTGAAAGCAAAAAGAGAGAGGTGAGAGACGTGAAAGACAAAATGGTGAAACTCGAACAATGCCTTGACAGGGAAAAGACCGCAACTGAATCCCTTGAACAA